GGTTAAAGATTAGGGCTATGGTTGTTGTCAAGTTTACCAAGCTGTTGCTTGGCATTAATGGCTACAATGTCACCAAAATAAAAAAGTCAAATAAAGTAAAACATTTTAAAATAAAAATCAGACAGATTCATTCAGCTTTCCAATTTTTATTCAAAATAAAAAAATGAGAAGTTACATATGCCCCTCTGTATTTATTTATTTTTATTTTTTCAAATCAAGTTTGAAAACTTACCTTTTTGATTTGGCATTTTATCAGTGAAAATGTATTAATTTAGCTATAATTTTATATCTGTTTCTTTTTGATTTGTATTGTGCAGCAGGTATATACTGTACATAAAATTGACATTTTAGCAGCCACATATGTCAGTGTCAATGTCAATAAAGGAAGGAAATGGTAAAGTAATTATTTAAATATGAATAAATATCACAATTTTATTTTATGGAATTTAATTACATTACTAACAAAATAAAATATAAAATTTATATAAATTGAAAAAACTATAAATATTTAACAAAACATTTATTAATATTTTAGTATCATTACATATTATTTAATGTATTTCAAATGAATACAATTAATATTAAACATGCGAGTATATATATATATATATATATATATATATATATATATATATATATATATATATATATATATAGCATATACTGTATAGGTATATAATTTGTATCCATTTCTCAGTGAATATGGGTAATATATATTGGTGCATTTGAACAAATCAAATTTATCAAACTGATATATTTATTAAAATAATATTTTTGTTACAGAACATCTTTAGAAATGGAAAGATAATACATTAAAATCCATGCAAATATTGCAAAAAAACACAACCTACACTTTAAAAAAAATTGTATATATTGCTTTTTTTTTTTTTTTTTTAAATATTTTCCTCTAACATATACTTTTATGCTACAAATTCTTGAACCTTTATTGTAAGTCATTTGGTTATATATATATATATATATATATATATATATATATATATATATATATATATATATATATATATATATATATATATATATTCAGGATGCTGCTAAGATGTTCTGAGTACTTTTTCCAAGGACTTTCTGAATTGCTTTATAAAGTTCAGAAGGTTTCTTTGATTTTCATCTCACTCTATACTGCTCAGTCCTCTCTTTCAAACCATGTCTAAGGGGATTTTTTCCAACCGCCATATGTTTTATCATCCACTGGACCGAAAAGTATTAGATGACTAAGAAAACCCACAACACACCAATTCCTAACAAGCTGCACAATTTGAGATATCCGAGTTAAATCTTAATGACTCACTGAATCATTATTACTGACATTTTTTAAAAAGATTTTCAATTATTATTACCTCCTCACATTCAGCAATTAACACATTTTCAGATCCTCAAACTTGTTACTTTGTTTCTTGTCAATTCTGTATTTTAGGAGACAAATGTAGGAGAACAATCTCTAGAGCTGTGCAAGTTCTCAACCACAACAAAAACTGATAGTAATGTCTGATAGTTATCGAACCAAGTGTAAGGTTTCGCTGTCATCATAGCGCAATAGAATTTAAGGAACCCAGACCTCATCCGGTCGATCTATTACTGAAATCTCCAAATGGGAGTAAAAAACAGAACAGCTAAAGCAACTCGCCTAACAACTCAAAAGCAAATCAAAAATGCAATTTAACTTAAAAATTCAACATCTATGTCAACAATTTTCATTAAATCAAATTCCACAAACGTCTAGTACTGTGAAGGCATTAAAGCGGTAAATCACAACTAAATGGAAAATCTATAAGACAAGAGCAGATGAATAATTGAGTCCATCTTTACAACGGCGCTCAGGTATAGCAAAAGAGGAGGCTTCTCAGTTTACCAGATAAAGGCATGTCGTTTCTAATGAGCGTTTAATTATTAACCCATTAACAATGACAAGCTATCTCTGAGAGAATCATATCTGATCAGACAGAGGCTGCTGTGTGTCGTCACTGCATTATTAACTTGCTGCATTTAGAGGAGCTCAGGGTCATGCTGCAGTCACTGATAGACACAATAAAGAAATGGAGACCATCACAAACTTCTGAACTTGAGGAGACACACATTTCAGAATCCACTACAACTGAAAAGAGGTAAATATGTTCTAATAGTCAACATGTAAAAAAATATGATTCTACATACTCACTGTTTTTTTGATGGCGCACTCTAGACTTTTCGCCGTAACTCTTTACTTGAAAGGGTGTAATAAGACAGTCATGACACTTTTAAAATCATGACTTGACAAGTCATTAAAGTGTTTGAGATCTGATGCATGATTATGGCAACTGTTATTAAGTGTCATTCGCTCAGTTATGACATTTTAGATACAAATATTACATTCTTTGAGATGTCTTTGTTATTGACAACTTGACATAAACCAAGACCTTACGACCTGTCTGACTTTATAACAGTTTAATATTACCAAGACAAGAAAACCTGTTAGAGTCTTTGTAATGACAACTTGGCATAACCAAGACAGCAAAACTTGTCATAAATCTGTCATAAACATGATTGTCCATTATTATGTCATGAATATGTGACTACTTTCAGTGGAACAAAATTAATTTGTCATTTAAATTTTCTTATTAAAACTGTCAATACACAAACATTAAAGAATTTTATAACAGCGTTATTAATATTTAATAACATTTAATATAATTAAATGACAAATTGTCCATGTGTACAGCTGTAGTTTAGGTCAAGAAAAGTATTGACGCCTGTTTTTATTGTCATCAATATCATCAAATCATCATTTTGTCATCAAATCAAGGCCTCGTGGTTATATTTTATATGACAAGTTATGCTAATAATATCCAAAAATTATATAATAATATGCACTTTTGTTTTCTCTAATGCTAATGTTAAGCTGTCACGACAAAGATACTGACAAGTTATGATGTATTTGTTTATGTTAGGCTCTCATACCAAAGACGTCCTATACAATGTCATTTTTACATTTCAAATGACATAAGTAAGAAAATGACACTTCATAACAGTTGTCAAAAGCATACATAAAAACGTATTCATAGTCATGATGATGGTTTTATGACTGTCTTATGGACACCCACTTCAATTTAAGTGTTACTCATTTTGCTAATTTTCAGAGCACGAGCAGACTGCACATTGAAGGCTATAGAGTACACAAGACATGTCACTTGTATAGCTTTGAATGAAGAAAAGTGTAACGGTCAATATGGTGAATGAAGCCCCGCCTACTAGTACAGCAGCCAATCATTGATTGCTATACACTGAGGATTCTGCGGGGGAAATCTCGAATCAGAAATGAATTTTTACGGCAATTTGTTGGTCAACAAACGCACTGAAATCTCAGTGAATACTCGCTTCACAGACATATGATATATATTCACATAAAGCTTGAAATCTCTACTTTTAAATAAACCAACTGCACTTAAAACATTTCTTTGGTTTTGTAATCTGTATGAAACGAACGCAAGGTGCAGTCAGTCCTGTAATTACTCAAATGCCCACAAACGTGTAAACAAAGAGTCGCTGTCATTTCTGGAGGAGATTCGTCATCAAGAAGGAGCTGTGAATTACTTCAGACGAGCAGCGCGATCTGACAAAGCACTACCTAGAGGATGATAACGTGTAACACTGCCAGAAATGAGGTTGGTGTCGTGAACTTGTTCTTTTCGAGTGCGCATGCATCCTGAAAAATGCCAATCTTGTTTGATTAAAATGTTTAGGAACGAAGCTTATGAGACAGCTGTTGTTTAATTTTATTGGTTATACCAAATAAGTAATGTAATTGTAAGCTTGACAAACAGTTTTGGAGAATTTGATGTTACCCCAATCAGAGGGAATCCCCAAGCATACTGCCTGAGAGGCTTTTTAATGGTGGCCGCCGAGTGAAATTAACTGCCTTAAATGGACTTGGACACAATCTACACTGTAAAAGCGCTATAGAAATAAAGATGAATTGAATGAGCAGAATCAGTTCAAATGTACTTGCAAAGTTAATGCGCTTTCACACGGAGTATGAGTTGATGGTGCAATGCATAGACACTCCTAAGCTTTACACACGTGGTTTGCTCCTTGTATATGAATTTCTCAGGTAGCTGGATTTCATTATTGACAATCTGACACAATTCAGGATAGTTTTGCCAATCAAAACTAATTCAGGAGTTGTTGTCATAACTGATCAAGACTTAAAATGGCAATTATTAGCATTTTGGGACTGCACTTTGATCCTTAAATTGACTTAATTATCAGATCTTGTAAATACGCCTAATGTGATTTCTTGGTATGAACACTGTTCTCACTGAAAGACATTTCAATTCCTTCTGGTCTTTATTAAGTCATGGACAAATGTATGTTAGCATCCTTCATTTACAAAAGCCATTACCTTTTGGTCAAAAAAGTCGAGACACAACTTGCTTACCTTGTTTCAGGCATACTACAACACTACAAATCATAATTACTACAAAAATGACAAGCCTGCAGTGGCTTTCAGAGGCTTTTTCAAAGATTTACTCCTCTGTTACAAACTTACTGTCACTTTTGTCAACACATACAGTATGTAAAAGGTGATCAAATTATCAATTTGAATACATCGATTATGAAAAGAGCAACAAAATAAAGAGTAGTGTTATAAAACATTTGTCAACTGGTGTTCAAGTAACTCCAAACTCTGTGTGCTATATGTTTCTTTGACCACTGGTAAAGTAAAAAAGTTGTACAACGTGTCACAGTGCAAATCCCATACAACTCAACTTCTTTTTAACACTTAGTGTAGTTGTACAGACGGCAACCATTACCCAAAACTCCCCCTCCAGCTGTGAAGCTCTCACTCTTTCCAGCCCTGTTTAAAAACTGCTGAGAGACGCAAAGAACAACAACAGACAAAACTCTTTCACTCTCACACCCTCTATATCAGTCTTCCAGGAGCATCTGCTGATGATCTCCTGACCTCTCAAGCTACCCCTAAAGCTTTCCCTCGAGATTCTTACCGTAAGTGTCCTGTGGAGTCACCGCAGTGTTTGTGTGTATGGTAGGTCTACTGAGGTTCTCGAGTGACCAAAGTCAGCTAGAGTCTCCTCCTCTTTGTCTTGCTCTCTTATTTTCTCCTTCTCCCCCTCCTTTCTCGCTTCTCAGCCTTCCATCTGCTCTTACTTTGGGCTGATGGGAAACAGGGAGAGCAGGCATTTAGCCTAGACTCATTCACACACGCACACACACGCTCTCACACACACAAAGACTCAACCACTCACATGCAAGATAAACAAGGAAGAGGGGCGGCAAATAGCATTGCTCTTCGGTGTTACTCTTTCGTTCAAGTTTATCTGAGGTAAAAACAAAAAAAAAAAAACAACCTCCCCCTGATTTCCTTAGAAATGAAGTCACTGTTAAACTTTTGTTGAGATCTCTACACAGATCTTGGTCTCTCTTTCTCTCTCAATCTTACTAGAAAAGTATCGATTTCCTGCACACCAAAAAAGGAAGCAACACATTTTTCTCCCCATTCCTCTAACCGCTGACAAAGAGCAGCAGTACTGAGCATGTTCACAACGACTGCACGGCCACACACAGAATAACACACATAATATATACATTTATATACAAAGTATATAAACAAGACCTTCAGTTAATTTTATATGTAAATACTTATAATCATAAATTCATAGAGAGTCAAGCATATCCATGGCATAATCTGACTTAAAGTCACATTTGTTCAACCAGCAAGTTTTTTTTTTTTACTTGAAATGACACTGGCGTCTCCCGAAAGATAATAAGACAAAGAGGCATCATTGTGGGGGGAAAATATATATACATTTCTTAGCTTTTATCTACATTTAAACAAAGAATTTTAAGTCAGAATTGGCAGCCAGGGGTATAAATAATTTCAGGCTTGACTATTCATTCATTCATTTTTTTTCAGCTCAGTCCCCTTATATATCAGGGATTGCCACAATGGAATGAACCACCAACTTGTCCAGCATGTTTTACACAGCGGATGCCCTTTCAACCCAACATGTTGAAACAGCCATACACTCTTGCATCCACACACATACACTACGGCCAATGTAGCTTATTCAATTCACCTATAGCATGTCTTTGGACTGTGGGGGAGGAAACCCACACGAACACTGGGAAAACATGCAGACTCCACACAGACATGCCAAGTGACCCATCTGGGACTCAAACCAGCAACCTTCTGGCTGTGAGGCGATCGTGCTACCCACTGTGCCACCGTGATATATAATATAATATAATATATATATATTATAATATATATATAATATAATATAATATATATATATTATAATATATATATATATATCACGGTGGCACAGTGGGTAGCACGATCGCCTCACAGCCAGAAGGTTGCTGGTTTGAGTCCCATATATATATATATATATATATATAGGTTATTAGGTTTATTTATTTATACAGCAACAGATAAGACAACATGGAATACATCCAACAAACCCAGAGTATATACAGGAATCAGAGAGTGGAATTCAATACCTTTTAAGACCTTTTTAAAGACTCTTTGCATACATTTTAAGACCCTAAAATCACTTTTTAGCCAGAAACACTGGTGAGATTTTGACGTACAGTATATTTACTAAAAATTAATGTAAGAAACTAATCCAAAACTGAAACATTGTTCATATACTGAATACAAATCTAGCTAATTCAGCAAGTTGGTGCCTGTAGAGCTGCAGAAATAATGGTGTTGCCTTGGTTACTGCAGTAAGCAAAGCAGCATGATGTCAAATCTAGTAGGATTTCATTGATTTCATAAGCTACACAGCATCCTGATATTTGCAGATTTAATTCAGGCAAACTTTAGCGTATAACCATACATTGCATAATCAAAAATGATATAAAATTTAGTTCCTTGCTAAATAACATTTAAGACGTTTTAATACTTTTTAAGGGTCTTAAATTTCTGTACATTGATTTATCAACTTTTAAGACTTTAAGAGCCCGCGGACAACCTGCACACAGCATCAACAGTAATTAACAAGACACCAGATAGGTACAACAGGATCATTTTTCTCCCAATTTAAAAGCTCTTTCTAGGAGGTGTAGTTTAAGTTTCTCTCTGAACAAAGATTCATTGGAAATTGTTCTAATGGACATAGATAGCCCATTCCACATTTTAGGACATACTACAGAGAAAGCTCAATCTCCTTTTTTCTTCAGTTTGGATCTGGGAACTACTAGCTATTTCTGGTTCGATGACCTTAAACATTTGCCAGATATTTAACAGCAATAAGATTAGAGAGATCAGTCAGAGCCTGGGCATTTAATACCTTAAAAACATACATTAAAATATTAAACTCAATTCTAAAACATATCGGCAACCAATTTAGGGAGCACAGGATGGGAGTAATGTGTTCAAACTTGCGAGTGCCAGTAAGAAGCCTAGTGGCTGTATTTTAGACCACTTGAAGATGATTTATATGGGATTAGCCAATACCTACATACATTGAGTTACAGTAGTCCAAGCGTGATGATATAAAGGCATGGATTAATCTCTCAAATTCTGAGTTATATAAACTGTAAAAATTCACATTTGATAACAAATTTGTCCTTAAACTATATTTAATCATTTAGGTACATATTTAAAGAGAAAACTACTATAGGCCAGTGACTTCATTTGCATCGTGTTAGTAAATAATCCTTATAACAGTCCTGATACAGAACTATTCAGGTTACAAAAATCCATGCAACATAAAATGATTACAGAATACTTAGGAAATGATTACAGATAACCTTATGAACCCATTACAAAATTAAATTCAAGTTTTTCAGTCAGTCGTGCTAATCATGAGTGCACTAAAATGTAGAGTACTTACTGTCATTAAACACTTTGTCTTGCATCCAGTTCCCAGCGTAAACATTTATAAGACTTTCCATGTTTGTCCATGTTGATTCAACTTGACATTTAAAATCCTTCATCTGCTGGAAAACCAAAGAGAACAACAAATGTTCAACTTAAATCAGGAAATCTGCAACTTAAAAATGGACACTGTAAAAAAAAAAAAAAAACTCTGCAGGGTTTCACACAATTACTTCAAAGTTGTCCCAACACAAATCGGTTAAGTTAACTTAATTGTTTATACAAATTTAAGTCGATCGGACATTAAAAAAAAAGTTGTCCCCTCCAAAAGCTCAGGAATTGTGTTGATTTAGCTCATTTGAAATGAGTAATTTGTACAAGCAGCAAATATCATACTGTAAAAACTGCTGGGTTCCACACAATTCCTTTATGTTATCCCAACACAAATCGATTAAATTACCTTAATTGTTATTACAAATTTAATTTGATTGAACATAAAACAATTAAGTTATACCAAAACAATTCTCAAGAATTGTGTTGATTCAGCTCATTATAAATAAGTAGTTTGAACAAGAAGCAAAAATATTTTATGAGTGTATTTTCGAATGTGGATGACCCTAAACTGCCCCAAAATATGGAAGTAAGAGGATCTGAATGTTGAGCAACCAAAACAAGCAGCAAGAGATATTCACCATAAATTCAATTCTACTCTTAATTAATGCATTATAAATCAAAATGCAGCACCATTAAATACAATTATGTGGTCTGCATTACAAAAAAAAAAAAAAAGTCTTGACTCAGCTGTATTGATTTTTAACACAGGTCACCTCATTAAAAGCAGGGGTCAAGCGAATAAAATGGCCGAGCGATTCTGAACAACAACCTGGGCAAGACTGGACCTGCCAAACCTGGATCAGATTCCTCTACAGCAACGTCTAAAAAAAAAAAAAACAAAGGAGAGAGAAGAAACACTATAACTGACACGCTCCTGCAGTTAATTATTAATAAAGACAAGAGAAGAGAGGAAATGACTAAAGAGGAAAAGCCAGAATCACACTGAAAGTCACACTGCTGCTTATTAGCAGCACAATGATGTTTTCAGATCAAACAGATCCAGCATTCATTCCTACAGAATCACACAAATGGATTAATTCATAAATAATTTATTAACAAATTCAGAATATCGACTGATCAAAATACATAAATAGCTTTCCACATATTGACAAAACAAATATACATTTAACCAAATGCTGGAATTTACAATAAATACATGCACGTCTACTTTACAGAAATGTTTGGTTGTGCATATTTTACAAACAATGAACAGAACTCCATCACACCTCAAAAAATAATAATAATAAAATAAAAGCATACAAACTACTTGGCACAAGTTAAAAACAAAGTTTCATACAGTGCATCCCTTTTCATCATCTGTCTGGCACTACCGGTTGGTCAATATTTGTACGTTTTCACTTGCGCATTTTGAGACATCTGGGAGAAAACTAGGGAAGTAAGCATGATCTTCGGACCAGAAATAAACCAAAAATATATTTTAGGTTAGACAAAGATGGTGAATGTGTTTTGCTATTACGGATTTCATCATACATCAGTGAAAAGCACAATGAAAAAAATGTGCATGTAAATGTGCATATGTGTGTCTGTCAATCAAAGGACAGACCTCCAGATACATATCCTGTTAGACCACTCCCCCTGCTAGAAGACTCCTCCCACTCAGAAGGCCACAAAGTGGTTTGGCAAAACTCTCTCATCTTCTAATGTCTGATCTTCTTGCACAAATACATATTTGTAACATTGCTGATATCCTTCATTTCAATTTGCTCGGAGTAATCCCAAAAGAAATCAATGCAGCGCTGTGCTTTTTGTGCTCACAGGGTTCCCACAACTTTTTTACTGACATCTAAGAAAACAAATTTAGAGAACTTCATTTATTTTTAACATTTAAAAGGTAAGCCTTTCAGTAAAATCTAAACAAAGTCTGAGTTTTATAAATTTGAGCTTTTTTTGTTGCACAATTAACAATTTTTTTTACGTTTCAAAGTTTTTTACATTTCTTGACTTGTGCAGTTGTTTTTTGTTCACACCACTAATGACAACTATACACATAACACTAAAGCCTGTTTCACACCACATGCAAGAGCAGCGCGTGAGCAGAGCATGAGCATGAGCAGCGTTTGTTTTTTCGGCATCAATTTTAACATATTAGAGCAGCACGTCAGTGTCGCTGAAACAGCAGTGCAGTAATAGTTTTGGCGCTGGGTCTATTTTTGCCGTGCTGCTCATACACATTTAATGACAGTAAAAACTAGCAATTTTACCCAGTAAATGCATAAGTAACATTCCTCTGATTTATATATATATATATATATATATATATATATATATATATATATATATATATATATATATATATATATATATATATATATATATAGTCAATCAAATGAACTTAAATGATTAAAAACTGCAACAAAAAGTTATTTGGGCCCGAACTACAAAACCAAATTTAAAACCATTTTAGTATCAGTTTTGCTTAGTAAATTCCACACTAGTTTGATCATGTATAAATATTATTATAATTATATTGTATGGCTATATTATAACTTTAGGCCTACATCATGCTGACAATCAAAAACAAAATGACATGACATCACAGGCGATTGTCTTCTGACTGAGTGCACCTGAAAAGACATGAATGACACTCCTTAAAGAGCTTGAGAAGCATACAGTCCTTTAGGAACTATTTAGTTTGTAAAGTAAAGACTTGCAGGTTAAGGAAAACAGCATTGGAAAAAGTTACCTATATATATATATATATATATATATATATATATATATATATATATATATATATATATATATATATATATATAGATAGATAGATAGATAGATAGATAGATAGATAGATAGATAGATAGATAGATAGATAGATAGATAGATAGATAGATAGATAGATAGATAGATAGATAGATAGATAGATAGATAGATAGATAGATAGATAGATAGATAAGTAGAAGGAATAAACAGAGACAGATTGATCAAAGCAACAAATGCCAATGCGATGCACGCTGCTGACGCTGCCGTTGTGAAAGTCAAATGCCTGCGTGCTGTTTCTGCTCTCTCTATACATGCTGCACACGCACTGCTCACACTCTGCCTGCACTTGTGGTGTGAGACAAGCGTAACATCTGTATTGTCTTCTTTGACTCTCTGATTTTGCACTTTCGACATGCCGAGTCCTGGTTTGTAAACCTCACAGACTTTGTTTACTGCTGCTATAAAACTGTATTATAGTAGCTTCTACATTACAGCACAACATTGTTCTGTTCATTACAAGCACATTTCGCTTTTATCTTCTGCTTCACGTTAAATACTAGTGCCTTTTAAATCCGGATGGATTCTGATTGGCTGTCAATGCTATTATTGTTCAAAAGCTGAAAACAAATTCTGAAAGTGATTCTGGTGATTTAATTATCATAGCTGTGGTTTTTTAGAACCATATCTCTTTCTTTGTTGTTACCATTATTGTTATCATTCTTGGTGTGAATGTGCCTGAATTAAATCATTTTTGTAAAACGTAATCGATTAGCTTGCTTGCCAAATAATAGTTGAACAAAGTTGTCAACACCCAGATTATATTGTCGTTGGAACTGAGATTGCAATCTTTGAACAACTTATCATTCACCTCTAGAGGTTTTGTTAATTTCCATGACCTTTCCATGGCTTAATTGAAATTCCCTGATATTTCCAGATTTTTCCATGAACGTGGGAACGCTGTTCTCAGTGCAAACACTCATCCCAATGAGCAGTTGTCCATCATGAAGAGTCAAGTGGTTACGTGACTCTTAAGGCTTTGAATAAACAAACACGCTTTCAGCAACAGTGTGGGTCCTTGTGTGTTCAGTTCATGAACGCATGTTTGCTTGTAAGATACAGTCAAGAAGTCTCTTCCTTTTGTCTCGCATTATCAACATCTCTTCTGTTTCTATGAGTCCACACTTATAATATTGATCAATAAAAGATGTCTTCTGGCGTTCACCTGCCCTCTTCAACAGGTCTGGTCTCAGATTTTAGTTTGACAAACTCTTTGGCAACCTCATCTGCTGAGCGTTGAGAGAGGATTCGTAGCGCGGTGGTCCCAGTTTCATCTATGTTAATGCGTGGGCCCAGTGGACACCAGCACACGCAGCTTTTACGGTCTGCTATGTCACGCAGCTGCAAGACAGCAATCCCGACAACCCGGTCTGCACGGCCGAAACAGTAATCCTTCACAGTTATTTGAATCTCATAGCAGTCCAGACTCACGCCTTTACCCAACACACTGAGACAAACAGAAGAAATAGACATGTGAGTAGATCATATATACTGAATGTTTTTTTTTATGTGTATACTTTAAAATGAATGTTTAACATCTAGTAAGTACAGGAAAATGCTGGCATTGAAAAGGATAGTACACCCAAAAATCCAATTCAATCAATTTTTAACTCACTCTGGTGTTCTTTTAATGTCTTGTGCCCTTCTTTCTTTTTTAGTCAACAAAAGGAGACATTTTAACTAATGTCCTGCATATATAGTTTACTTTATTTTGATGGTCCGTATGTTGAATTTAGGTTACATTGAATCTACATGCCAACTAATTCTCATTAGATTATAAGTAGACTGTTTGGTTTGGGTTAGGGTTGGGGTCAAGATTAGTGTAAGTTGACATGCACTAGCAAGGTTTCTTATAGTCAGTTAAATGTCTGTTGAAGGAGCAGTATCAGCAGATATTAAGCAGACAGTCTACTAATACTCAAATGGAGCATTAAAATAAATAGTTACCACATATATGATGAATATTGGTCAGTAATAAATATAAAACAGATTCACAAAAATGTATATTTTAAATTTAGCTGAACTTTAGAAATACTAGATCTAACCTTGACCAGTTGTCTTTCTACAAAACTGCACAAAATTCCAACCCTATTAGCGCCACTGTACAAAATAAGTGTGGCCCTCTGATTTTCATACAATACAAACTCATCATTTGCCCTCCAGACATAAGTAAAAACATACAAAAAAAAATGTGAAGCTTGTGAAGGGAAGGATAGCCTGTTGACAGAGAATGTATGACTATTTGCTTAAGTGGCAATGGGAAGAAGTCATTTTATTGGGTATTTTAATGGGTTTCAGTGGCGGCCTCAAGGTCTTTAGTGTAATACTTTAATTTTTTAGTTAGTCTTTAGTTAATACTTAGTGCAAAATCAATTTATAAAAGAATCATTTATTAAGTTAGTGTTGGCAAAATGATGCAAAATGATCTCAGAAAATAAGACAAAAATGTCCATAAGGATTCACCAGGGTTAATAAATCATTTAAGATTCCTTAGCAATTCAGCAGAAAATTACATTATAAACATAAAAGTTTAATTAATCAAACATTTACAAGTCTTTGTAAACTAATGGTTTTAAATGTCAAAATAAACAAACAATAACAATAAATAAACAAACACTAAAACAAACAAAAAGTAAAAGCTAATTTTCTCAACATAAGAATATAAGATGCAGTTATTATTTTAAAAGCTCTTTGCTGCAAATGTAAATTTTAAAACGGAAATTAAATAAATAAAAAATTGTACTAACATTATTTAGCAATTATAATGCATTTAGAAATTCCCAGTTTGTCTGGATATATAATTTATGATTATATGTTTGAGTTTAATCAGTTTAGCTGTGTCCTGTAAAATAACTCCTGTAAAATAACTGTAAAATAACTGGATTTCTCCATACAGATCAGGACGTTCCGTCAAAACACAACCAATATGATCTCAGAAAATTTTATAAAAAAGACAAAAATGTCCCTAAGGAAGCACAAGGGTTAACAAAACATGAACACCTTACTATGAATCATTGGTATCTCCATCAGTATCAGTAACTTTACTGAATTAAATATGTCCAGGGTTGGTATTGTAAATGATAAGTAAACCTTATTTTGGGTGAACTATCCCTTTAAATAGACAAACATTTACAGATTAAAGTTGTGTTTTCACTCACAATTGAAAGGCCTCATTGTACTTTGCACTCCAGCTATTGTTTTTTGATTTAGTTGTGAATTTCCGTTTCTTCTCTGCGAGCATTGGGCCGACCAGGTTAACCTCCACAAATGGACGAAACATCCCTGAGGTCTGCCATTTCATGTCATTTACCGCAATCACTGAAAGAGAAGGAAACACATTTTTTATGAGTGTTTTCAGCACTAAATTCTGTTTTTGGTCCCATTTTATATTACGTGGCCTTAACTAATATGTACTTGCACTGAAATTAATAATTTGTTACAATGCTGTGTACATACATTATTTTTGCACTGTAGTTATGCTTGATTAAATACATGCATGCAAATACATCTGTAAAATTTCACTGTTGATCCATTCCTTACACCTTAACCCACCATTAAACCTACTCATACCACCAAACCTGCCCCTGACCCTACCTGTATTTCACCTCAAGAACACCAGAAATGTTTGGCAATACACTGTATTTATATTTTGATGTAAGTACATATTAGTTAAAAACACTCAATATAAAGTGGGATCCTTTATTATTTGCTGCAAACTGACCTCTGACGCTGAGTTTCTGCTCTGTGTTTCCAGCTGGGGGCGACAAATCCAGCTGAATCACTCCCTCTCCTATCGGCCGCTCAACTCCAGAACCTGTCAATCAAACCCCTTAACTTCACTAATACTGCACATTTCAGATGGAAATTGTATTTCAAATGAAAGCTGTATTTGCCAAATTTGACCAAACTATTGGGCAACAGAACAGTTTACAACACTGACAATAATAAGAAAGCTTTCCTAAGAACCAAAATCAGCATATTAGAATGATTTTGTTACAGTGAAGACTATAGTAATGATGCTGATAATTCAACTTTGAAAAAATAAAGAGTAAATTTTATTACAGTCATTTTAAATTGCAATAATATTATTATTCACTGTATAATAATAATGCTAATAATTATATATACAGTTGAAGTCAAATTATTAGCCCCCCTTTGAATTTGTTTTTCTTTTTTTTTAAATATTTCCCAAATGATGTTTAACAGAGCAAGGAAATTTTCATAGAATAAATGCTGTCATTGTGAATATCGTAAGAGAATATACTCATGAAAGCCCCACGAAAATGTATTAAACTTAAATTTAGGTACATGTGTGACAGATAAAGAAGTTATCAGGCATCCCAAAAATAAATAAATGTATAAATTTGCAGCTTTAATTTATTTCCTGAAGATTCAAATGTGGCCCACCTCTGTCAGGTCGGACGTTCTCCTTGGGGGTGATCCTGATGCCCATACCGTTTTGCACTTAGGGAAAATAAAATCATTTTATAAATATATAAAGTCCTGAAAATGACAAATAATTCATGCAGACTGCATGGCCATGTGCAGAAGCTGATAAAAGTCATGTCCTTAACATGTGTGCGTGCGTTCGAATCTCACCTTGAGCATGTTGTGTTGTCACAAATGTCTTGATAAGAGCATCTGTGGTCTGTGTATAGAGAGAGAGAGCGTAGCGCAGTGACGACAGCTCGGGGCTCTTCTCCAGATAGACTTTCTTTAAACCGTTCCCACCAGCATGAAAGAACATCTACATGGCAGCAAGTTTGAAAGAGAGAGTAAATTAGCAAGTGCAATTCAGAAAATAAAATTAAACAAAAAACTGTAATAAACACAAGAATAAAAAACAAAAAAGTACAAATATTAAATGATAAAACTGCAATAAAATAATAAATCTAATAAAATCAAATTAATTTAAATAAACTTAAATATTGAAATACTGTACATACAGTATATACATACCCTAATAATAATAATACTAATAATTATATATACAGTTCAAGTCAGAATTACTAGCCCCCCTTTGAATTTGTTTTTCTTTTTTTAATATTTCCCAAATGATGTTTAACAGAGCAAGAACATTTTCACAGTATGTCGATTAATATTTTTTCTTCTGTAGAAAATCCTATTTGCTTTATTTCGGCTAGAATAAAGCAGTTTTAAAACATTTTTAAAACATTTTACGGTCAAAATTATTAGCCCCTTTAAGCTAGATTTTTTTTCGAGTCTACAGAACAAACCATCATTAAACAATAACTTGCCTAATTGTCCTAACCTGCCTAGTTAACCTAAATAACATAGTTAAGTCTTTAAATGTCACTTTAAACTGTATAGAAGAGTCTTGAAAAATATCTAGTCAAATATTATTTACTGTCATCATGGCAAAAATAACATAAATCAGTTATTAGAAATGAGTTATTAAACTGTTATGTTTAGAAATGTGTTGAAGAAATCTCTCTGTTAAACAGAAATAAACAGGGGCTAATCATTCAGGGGGCTAATCATTCTGACTTAAATTGTATATATTTACATATATACAGTATATTCAACTCTCTAAAAGCATAGCAGATATGAAAAATATCTTTAAAGCCTGCCTGAACCAAAAGTAGCTGCATACTTTTATTTCTGTATGATGACATGCACAAACTGAAACAGAATATTGAGTAGGGCCGGGTTTTATCTTTGCACTCCTTTCATCTTTCACTTGCACCAAAATAACAGTTGATGGGGCGTGGCTAAGCAAATTTTGTTCAATCTATCAAAATGACATCATCAGAGAAGGACTGCCATTCCAGAGAGATTAATTTCACAGATTAATTATTCACCTTGGTAGGGTTGCACCAAGTTGTTCGTAAGTTCTGTCTTAAACATTACAGTCAGTCACTAATAACAGATGCACATGTCTGCATCGCGAGCCGTGAATGTATGCAAAATCACATGAAGTTATCAAAGCATTCAATTAAAAAAATGTATATCTTACACATGGAAGAGAAAAAAGTCATGAAGTGGTGGACACAAATATCACAAAACACTCCTTGAAACAAACTTCTTTCATAAACTGAAAAAATAGTGAGATTTGGTCTGAAGGCTGTGAGTAAAGGGAGATCGATCTTCATTAATATCATGAGCTCCTCTATTGTTATGTAAACTAATCTCGTTGTCGACTCTTTTTTACCGTTATACATGGGGGGAGGCTGCCATAAATATTTAGTTGGAACCAAGCATTACATTTAAACTAAGTTCAGTTGTGCAACAAAAAATATTTAGTTGTGCTTAATTTGTAACTTAGTGTCCCTAAAGTCACAACTAAGCCACGTTTGAACTTTTTACTGTTGCAAACGGCCCCGTAAGGCTGACAATGTGCAGTAAGAATAAAGATAAATATTGTACATTTAATAAAAGATAAAATAAAATAAAGACATTTGTAAAAGATAAATATTGTACATTTTGATTTCATGTGGACTTTAAATAAAAAAACAACCTGCAGAATATATATATATATATATATATATATATATATATATATATACACACACACACACACACACACACACACACACACACACACACACACACACACACACACACACACACACACATACATACATATATATATATATATATATATATATATATATATATATACACATACACACATACATACAGTACATACACACATACACATAGAGAGAGAGAGGCAGTAAATTAGAATGAATTTCCTTCTGCAAAATGCACTACAGCTCACAGACAGCAACTTTTTTTGTCTGACCAAGCTATTACATGTGAAATGTCATGCCTGCGGTGAGCAGCTTTCTCAGACTGTTTCTCATATTCTCTCTCCTACCCACACACACACACTTTCATGACACACCAGTCCCAAGAACCCAAACACTCGCTGTGAAGAATGTTGACGATTCTGTTATTGAGACAGACAGTCAACACTTTAACACACAAGTGTCAAACATACAGACCACAAGTACTGTACATTTAATCTGGCCTGAGGGATGATTCGAAAAATGATCTAAAATAATATTAAATTAAAGGTTAATTTTAAAATTAAGCAAAGTTTATAATATGTTTTAAATATATGTTTTAATGAATCAGTTTTTACTACAGTATTTTTCTTTAAAATGCAATGGACATCTTAGACATAAAAAAGCTCAGAGTGTGAAACAATATCTGACATAATATATATAATAATGTCCTCTAAAATATTAAACAGTGTAAAGTAAATATTAAAAAGTCAGAGGAAGGCACACAAGCCTTCACAGTAGGGTAAAGTCTGCTAAAATGTTAGAATTACCTTACACTACGTGATATACAAGGCACTTTTGCATCCATGAGGTTTTTTATTCATTTAATAACTACTATAGTATCACTAGTGACAAACAAGGAAAGAGCAGAATAATACAAGTCTCAGAACAACACTGCAGTGTTCATTTGTAAATTAATCCATTAATCATTTTAGTCAAAGATTCAGTGACCCATTCACACTTTCTGTTATTTGCTAAGTATCTAATCAGCTGTTTTGAACGAACTACCTGAATGAATGAGTCAATGACTCATCAAGACTGTGACTTTCCTGCTGACCATTACTGCATTTAATGCAATATTAATTTATTTAGTGTAATACTTATTCATGTCTATGTATGAAAAACCAAAACCTGTCAAGGTACCACAAAAACAAAAATAGTGCCTGAATATCATGATTGAAAATAAAAATCTAAAAAGATGTACACACCTCTATAATATATACTCCATTTTACAACTCTATAATATAATGTTTTCTTGTGAATTAAGATGCAGTTTTTATGGTTATTTATGAGCAAACTAAGGTTTAGTAACCCAAAATAATGAAACACCACTGCCTAATTGTGTTGTAACACAGACATACACACACAAACACACACCTTGACTGAGTCCAGCGCCACCTCCATGATCAGACACTGCCTTGGTGACAGGCTCTTTGGCTCCGCTCCTCCCTGTAATCAAAAAGAAGCATTAGACACACCTATCTAAACAAGTTATAGATCAAATGTTTTAGTCATGTATTTATGGTTAATACCTTTAGTTTAGACAGCTCCTTAGCAGCAGTAAGCAGCTGAGCTCCCTACAAAAAAAAAAAAAAAAAAAAATCACAAAAAAATTTTTTTTTCAAATCCTCTGCATGCCAGTATTGACTGAAAATATTATGATGTTAAAATTGTAGGCAATTTAAAAAAAGCAAGCATAACTCTAGGTAACCATAGGTACCGCATCATACCAATAAAAATAAATTCAAAACTTAAAACAATTCTCCAATGAACAACAAAAATGAAAAACAACCACCAAACAACAATAACAAAAGCCTAGTGTTCACAATGTAGATTATTAAGAAGCCATTTCTTAGAATTATGCTTAAATGACTTTAAAGATGTTCTAACAGATTGTGGTATTAAATTCCACTGATATGGTGCTTTAAAAGAAAAACAAGCTTTGTCAAAAGACATTTTTGTAAGTGTAATAATGCAGCCAGCTCCAGCTGCACCCCTAGTTACTCTGTTTTCTGCAGATTTCAGTGTAAAAACGTCATGTAGAGGGGGAGGGGCTAAACCATGCATAATCTCGTAAGCTTTACAACCATTTTAAAACTTAAGACATGTTCTCCCAATTAAGCAGTCTATGGGACAAAGTTTTTTTTTTTTTTACAAAATACTAATAATGTCAAATAAATAAATACATTTCGATAAATCAAAATAACATAAGTTGTTGTCTGACAAACAGGGCTCTTTTTTGCAAATGTATTCAATAAAAGATAAATTATATTTGTTTGGCTTAGTACCTTTATTAATCAGGGGATTAATAAATCAAATGTTTAATCTTCCTGTCGTGTTCGGGTCAAATCTGACCGATTTACAACTTAAATCACACATAAATATTGTGTTTTACATCTGATTGCCTCAAGGCCTCATGAAGTCATCCACACTGCAGTTGATTATATAAAAGCGATGATCCCCTCTTTCATTGAATTTTGAGTGTTTTAATCAACCTTGTTACATCTGTGGTGTTCCCGGTCTAAAGTGACCACCATAGGAAATGAATGGGTATCCAGGCTTTATTCATTCATCAGACAGAAAACATCCCCACACACACTACCCCAACTCACTCACTCACTCACTCACTTACTCATCCACCCACTCACTCTCTCTCTCACTCACTCACTCACTCACTCATTTACTCACTCACTCACTCACTCACTCACTCATCCACCCACTCACTCTCTCACTCACTCACTCACTCACTCACTCACTCACTCACTCACTCACTCACTCACTCACTCACTCACTCACTCACTCACTCACTCTCTCACTCACTCTCTCACTCACTCACTCACTCACTCACTCACTCATTTACTCACTCACTCACTCACTCACTCACTCTCTCACTCTCTCACTCACTCTCTCACTCACTCACTCATTTCAGACTGAACAATGTCTTTTGCAGGAACACATCTCTTTAACGCACTTATGTGCTGATCCTCCAGCCTGATCTCACAAGGAAACATAACTATTTTACGTTTTGTCAGTTTAGTGGCTAATTAAAATGAGTTAAGTCATACAAAATTGTATGATATTTAAAAGGAGGCGTGGCACCCAACCCCAGCCCTAAACCCAATCGTCATTGGGGATAAGCAAATTGTACAAAACTGTATGAACGAGATCGTACAAATTCATATGGAATAGCTACTAAACCAAAAAGAAATGAATTGCCATGTAAGTGTTGGACCCTTCAACAGGAATCAATATACTGATAAAACAGTCCATTATATCTTCAAACAGACTAGGTGTCTGTTATGTGAATCCATCTATGTTCGTTCTTTCTTTCTTTCTTTTTCTTTCTTTTTTTCTTTCTTTCTTTCTTTCTTTCTTTCTTTCTTTCTTTCTTTCTTTCTTTCTTTCTTTCTTTCTTTCTTTCTTTCTTTCTTTCTTTCTTTCATTCTGTCTTTCTTTCTTTCTTTCTTTCTTTCTTCCAATCTCCGTTCAGCCAATCTTTGAGTCTAGCAGGAGCACTTTTAGCAACAATTATTTTATTATATTACACCATTATTATCTCACTCAAAAATGACCAAAGTATAACTAGTGCTAGTTCTGTGTCCATGCTCACCGTATATACCCTCAGTCACTATTCTTTATATTAATACACTTAAAGGACTGACAATTCGGTCACTCAGAACACAGGAAAGCATTTTGTTTGTGCTTAGCTGGTTGATAAATCATTCAGATAGATTAAAATGTCAAATTCTTTGGTCAGACCCTGTGATAGTTACTTTAGTAAGCTGTCTATTAGTAATAAAACAAAGTATTTTGATTTCTGTTATATTGTTTATTTTGTAATGTTTTCAGCGCCTATTTTTATTTTCATTGCAATTATTTTATGTCTAATTCTGTAAATTCATGTTAAACACTACTTTGAGGCATTGTTCACAGCTTAAGAATGTTGAATAAAAGTTTGGTGGAGAAAAAAGATTTTTGTGCTAATATAAGAGCAGTTAAAACAGACCAGTCAATTTTGAACTGGAACACTAAAGTAAGGGGCTGCATGTGAACACGACAGGAGGGTTAAATGTCAAAATAATTAAACAACAGCAAAAATAAAAGGAGCACAATAAATTATATATATATATATATATATATATATATATATATATATATTATTTTTTTTTTTTTTTCTTGTGCTCCTTTCATTTTGCTGTTGTTTGATTATTTTGACATTTAAACTGTTAGCTTACAAATAATTATTTTTGTTATTATAATAATTCTTAATAGTAATAATAGTAATCTTTTTTTTTCAAATTCAGCAACTCAACAAAACAATATAAAAAACAAAATCACAGTTATAAATTAAAATTCAATTTGTTCAAATTAAAAACAAAACACAAAATGTAATTACAATGTATTTGGAAATTCTCAGTTTCTCAAGATATCGTTTATGAATATGTATTTGATTAAAACATATATTAGGTTTAATAATCTATTTGGTTGAGTCCTGTGAAACAACTCACTATACTGTCGCTGCTCTGAGGCAACACAATGGTTTTCTCCATACAGATCAGCACGTTCCTCCAGAGGTCCTTCAGCACCCGCTTCAACACAGTCTTGTCACATATGTCTGCAAAGATGCTGAGGCTGCAACACACAGGGCAAACATTACACTCGTCAGTCTGGGAAATTTCCCTGGGGAATTTATAAGATACAAAATACAGATGGCAGCTTATTATTTCACTTTTCGCTGCTCTTGTTCAGAATGCCAAGTATCAGAAACAGGCACACATGTAGGATGACCCTCGATTTAAGACAAATGATATGAATGTGAATTGCAGTGAATATGGCATGAACTGACTTTGTGTCGAGGAACTCCATCAGCGGCCGCAGTGCGCTGTCGGCATCGGCTTCTGCCGTGTTACGAGTATTCTGATTCAGAGGCCCTTTAATCTGGTAAAGGATCTCTGCCATCTGACGCAGACACACGTTTATACGGCCCAGGAAACTATAACAATGAGAAAGTGAGAGAGAGAAGCAGATCAACACAACAGTCTGACGATTTAACAAACAAGGCGGAAAAAAACGTCAATTACGTTGCTCATAACAAAAATGTCTAATTTTTATAATTAGAATTTCTGATTTTGTTGCAAGATTTCTTTAAAAAATCTAAAGCAATTATTTCTTCTTTTCCTTTTAAAAGATATCCACGTCTGAATTCCTACATTTTCAACCTCAAAAACCATTGATGTCTGTAATTTATATAAAGGACAGACAGAGAGAAACGCTTACTTCCTAATGCTATAAAAGCCACCATATCAAACTTGATACATGAAGTACTCTAAATGTATCAGTCTAAACAATTAAGTAGCCTAAAATAATTCAAAAACTATTCTCTATTCTTCATTTTAGCCCAAATTTGAAATTAAACCAAATGTTTGAAACCATTAAGAGAGAAGAGAGAGAAAGAGAGAGAGAAAGAGAGAGATGTAGATTTTTAAAAAATAATCTAATTCAACAATTAACACTACAAACACTGTCCTACAGTATGTAGACACTATACTTCAAATTAAAAACAAATGCTCCACACTAACCCTAGCCTTTAAATATGCATTAAAAAAGAGCAAAAGAGTGAGAAAGAGAAAGTCAAAGAGAAAAGAAAGAGAAAGAGAGAGACTACATTTTGTGGCGACAGATGCAATTTAGATGTTCAGCGACAGAAACAATGCATATAGCCTAGCTCAAACAGGATTTAGCTGAATGCATGGTAAAATATTGTGTAGCTATGCAGATGGCACTCTGTGGCTTGGTCGGAATTAGCTTAAACACTGTCCTGGCTAACCGAAATATGAGGAAAATCTGTGGGAATTTAAAAATAATTAAAAAATTTTGGATTTTGTGACCACAGAATCGTGGAATCCAGGAGGCTCTGTAATAAGTTCTTGAAAACGATTCAAAGAGAAAAAATAAAAAATAAATAAATTTAAAGTAAAATAACAACGTAAACATTTACAAATATGCAAATAACTACACTGAAAACAAATGATTAATTGGATTTACACATTTTTTATGGTAAGTAGTTACAAACAATTTATATGGGCTTGGTACTGTTCAACTTAATTAGTTTATTTAAACTCAGCTCAAGGCAGTACGCTGGATCAGTGGCTAGCACTGTTGCCTCACAGCAAGAAGGTCACTGATTTGAGTCCCGGCTAGGCCAGTTGGTATTTCTGTGCAGAGTTTGCATGTTCTCCCCATGTTCGCATGGGTTTCCTCTGTCCAAAGACATGCGCTATAGGTGAACTGAATGAACTAAATTGACCGTAGTGTGTTTGTGTGTGTGTGTGTGTGGATGTGAAAGTATATGGATGTTTCCCAGTGATCGGTTGCAGCTGCAGTCTAAAACATATGGTGGAATAGTTGGCAGTTCATTCCATTATGGTGACCCCTGATAAATAAGGGACTAAGCCAAAGGAAAATTAATAAATAAATGATGAATAAAATTCAGCTCATATAATTTTTTGCAACAACATACCATAAAATATTTAGTAAATTCAATGAATCGTTTTTTGTGTAATATATAAAATTGAACTATAAAACTTGTGAAAGAGCTACTATGACGAAGGTGACCAAAACAGTTCAGAAACTGTAAAAATGACATTGCGATGGAAAAAACATATGTTTACCTCTTGACAAACATGCCACTCAGATTATCCAGAACAGAATTAAGCTTTCCCTGCAGGTCATTGAGGATATCAGCAGCCTCGGTGTCGAGCTATTGAGAAAAACATACACAACCACACACACATATATATATATGTTAGTTTAATAGAAAATATGGAGCTTAAACCAGGAAGAGAGAGGAGGAGAGGATGTAGGGGACAATCACCGTCTGTTTGTCATGGTTCTACAAGCAAATCAGCATCAGGGAGGTGAAACCAATTGGAAACTTTCTCTATTAAAGCCATTTTTCATCGGTAAGAATAATGCAGCAATATATCTGACAAATCCGACAATAGTTTATTAAAGCAGGAGTAGAGAATACCAAAAAGACACCTGCAGGAGTGACAACATCTATTTATTCATTTTAGGGCTGCAGAGGAACAATTAAAATATATCACACAGTACAACGCATTGACTTGGCTTTAGCAATCAGAAAAGCACAAATGAGACTCAAACAGTAATTTTTTGTTGTCTTCTTGTCGATGGTTATTAAAAGAATGGAAGCAATATAGGTTTACAAATATGCAAAATTAGATTAATTCTTTTACAAGAAAATGGCAAGAAGTTACTGTATCAGCTAAAATATGAAAAACTGTTGGTATATACACTCACCGGCCATTTTATTAGATGCCCAACTGCTTATTAACACAAATTTATAATCAGCCAATCACATGGCAGCAAATTAATGCATTTAGGCATGTAGACATGGTTAAGATGATCTGCTGCAGTTCAAACCGAGCATCAGAATGGGGAAGAAAGCTGATTTAAATGACTTTGAATGTGGCATGGTTGTTGGTGCCAGAAGGGCTGGAGTATTTTATAAACTGATGATCTACTAGGATTTTCACGTGCAACCATCTCTAGTGTTTACAGAGAATGGTCTGAAAAAGAGAAAATATCCAGTGAGAGGCAGTTCTGTGGGCTCAAATGACTTATTGATGCCAGAGGTCAGAGCAAGATGGCCAGACTGGTTCGACCTGATAGAAAGGCAACAGTAACTCAAATAACCACTCATTACCACCGAGGTATTGAGAAGAGCATCTCTGAATGCACAACACGTCCAACCTTGAGGTGGATGGGCTATAGCAGCAGAAGATTACACAGGGTGCCACTTCTGTCAGCTAAGAACAGGAAACTTAGGCTACTATTCGCACAGGCTCACCAAAATTAGACAATAGAACATTGGAAAAATATTGTCTGGTCTGAGGAGTCTCGATTTCTGCTGCAACATTAGGATGGTAAGGTCTGAATTTGGCATCAACAAGATGAAAGCATGGATCCATCCTGCCTTGTATCAATGGTTTAGGCTGTAATGGTGTGGGGATATTTTCTTGGCACATTTTGGGCCCATTAGTACCAATTGAGGATCGTGTCAACGCCACAGCCTACCTGAGGATTGTTGTTGACTATGTCTATCCCTTTATGACCACAGTGTACCCATCTTCTGATGGGTATTTCAAGCAGGATAAGACGCCATGTCATATAGTTCTAATCATCTCAGACTGGTTTCTTGAACATGACAATGAGTTCACTGTACTCAAATGGCCTCCACAGTCACCAGAACTTAATCCAATAGAGAACCTTTAGGAATGTAGTGGAATGCGAGATTCGCGTCATGGATGTGCAGCCAACAAATCTGTAGAAACTGTGTGATGCTATCATGTCAATATGAACCAAAATCTCTGAGGAATATTTTCAGTACCTTGTTTAATCTATGCCATGAAGGATTAATGCAGTTCTGAAGGCAAAGGGGGTTTCAACCTGGTACTGGGTGTACCTAATAAAGTGGCCGGTGAGTGTACATCAAAAACATAAAGAACAAGTACACTTTTCAAGCAAAATATTTGTAACAGATATTTTATTTGATTATGCTTTAAACAACCTAATTTTTGTATCAATGAGATTCTTTGTCCCTATTAAATTTAAAAAAATATGTTTTAGTAGTTATTTATTTATTTATTTATTTGCACATTTAAATGGTTGTACAATTTAAAAATGGTTTTATTTTTACAGAGAATTGAAACAAAAATAAGCAATATACATACAAAATGCACATCTGCATTTGTTCATGCACTTTTTTTTTTGTACACAAAGCTTTTCAAATATTTTTTTAAACAGACTTAGCTACTCCAATAGCTTTCATGGTCTTAGGTTGCATGTCCACCGAAGTGTTTATGCGCGGCTGAAAACGCCAGTGATCACCAAAAAAAAATCTCAGATGAGAAAGCTTCTTCAACTTTCAGTATATTTCAAAAATGTTAAGCGCTCAGAAACTTTATTTGAAACAGACGCCTTGCCATGCTGCTGCCATTAAAAATAAATAAATAAATAAATAAACAAATAAATAAATAAATAAATAAAATAAGTGGGCACGGCCCCCTTAATGGTTAAGGAACAACACTGGGGCCAATGAAATGGGTCAAATGATCACAGGTTGATCATACATTAGTGCTGTGCGATATGGGCAAAAGAAACCTATCATGACTTTCTTGAACACAATTACGATTTCCATTTTAATCACAATTTTGCCACACAATGACATTTTGTACTGTAAATCTAAAACATATTTCCAAAGGAAAATAGTTGGATCTTTTTCAAAGACATGTACCATGTCTCTAAAACAGACATAAGGCAAAAAAATTAAAAATATTAACCTAGTAAAGGTGTAACAAAATGTTTCTAGAACAAATGGCAAAACAAATAAATAAGGTAGTCTGTGTGTGCCGTCAAACTCAAGAAGGACAGCGATGTTCTGCTTGATCACATATCAGAAGTAGTTGCCTGTACTTTTCTACATGTCCACACATTTATTTTTGCCATGCATAGATCATGGACCTCTTTGTGACAAAAAAAATGTGTAAGGCAATATGGAAATCACGTATGTTCAAATCGCGATTTCGGTATGATTTCAATTAATTGCACAATCCTACATGGTACTGCAGTATGTCTAAACATCTATGTATTTGCACTACTCTATGCCATCACAGGGAAAATGAAAGTCTTAGGAGAAGAGAAGGCATATAACATATTCTCACTTATGCGCACACACACACACACACAATGATTATCGCACCTTTTTTGTGTCAACTGTTGCCTCTTTCTAGAAAGAAACAGAATGGGTGAAAAACACAGGAAAGCAAAAGAAAACAGAGAAAATGACACAAATCCTCAAAAACACAGACACTTCTGAATGTCAGAATCAAGGTCAGTGCAGGAATGTTTAAGTTTAAACTCCAAAAGCAATACCACACACCTGTTTTCCCTCATCTTTGGGCTGAAGAGTAAAAAACAACAACAACAAATGAATAAAATGAAACAAAATTCAAAGTCAAGCTATCTTTTAGTCTAACAGCATTTGGGTATCTGACAGTCTTGATGTTTATTATCTACTTGCTGTCTACAGCTACATTCACACACAGGCGGTGTTTGTGATTGACAACAGTATTTACAGCTGTCTAAAAAAAAAAACTTCCAGACAATAACCACAGCTTACATTACTATCTTGGAGAGTTAGCAATTTGTGTTAAATTATAAAATGAACTTTGTGTGCATATTCAATAAGTGATGTACAACTAATTTAATGTTTACACAGCACTGGTTTGTGATTGCATGTTATAATATTACATAAAACACATGAAAGTGAAACAAAAATAGCAATACAATGAACTTACAACCACCAGTGATCAAGTTAAGAGATCTTTGAAGCATAAAACGTTTACTTTTACTTTACAAAAGTATGTTGACTTGCTGTCTAAATGAGACATTTTGTTTGTCGTTTTGAATTGTTTTTATAATTGTAATATATTTTAATGGTTCTCTCAGTATTTGTGCATGTTTAACAAAATGTATATTTTAATACAGAGCCTAATTTATGCATCTGTCACATGACAAATGAAATACACAGAAGAGGAGATTAACAAATCATTTCTGCTTTGCATAATTTATCTTTAGCTGCTTTTCTGTAGTTTCATAATTCAGGAAATTGTCAAAGATTGTTCATGTGGATGTCTGAAAATGCATAGTTTTAATAATCTATGTTCAAATAGGGAAAATATGAATAAACAAAGCCAAGTCAGTAAAAGATCTAAAATTACTATCACTATTCAGCCCAAAATCAACAGAGAGGACAACAAGACTTCGGTCAAAATTCTGGCAACACAGAAGTATTGCTAGAATAAGTTGTGTGTAAGTGCCTTGAACTTAAATAAAAATAAAAAGAATATTAATAACAATAATAATAATAAGAAGAATGATGATGATAATGGTAATAATGATAATAATAATGATGATGATAACAATAATAAAATCAATATTGATAATAATAATAACAATGATGATGATGATGATGATGACGATGATAATAATGATAATTATAATAATAATAATAAAAACAATCATGTTTTTAATAATGATAATAATAATAATGATATAATAATAATAACGATGATGATGATGATGATAATAATAATACTAATATAATGAGAATGATGATAATAATAATAATGATGATGATGATGATGATAATAATAATAATAATAATAATTATTATTATGAATAATATTAACAAAGATCTGTTACTGTGTTTACCAAAAAAATTATCATTTATTCTCTGACAACAGCTAAATCATATCATTTGCCTGAGGTGCATCATTATTTAAGCGTTGAATTAGAGGTAATTGTTTTTGTGTCACATCAGGGCACAAGAATCCTATTTCACCAAGAACAAGACTCTGACAAGGAGGTACTGGAGCCTTGGGGACACGATCACAGCCACACAATACACATCTCTCCTTCCCATCACATTTCACAAACACACACACTTGCTCCTCACACTAATGAGACCTTGTTCATGTACCCTCTCCCACCCCCCCCACCCCCCCACCACCACACACACACACACACACACACACACACACACACACGCTTATTACCTTGGCTCCATCACCCACCTCTGTGGTCGTGTTCTCATCCTTGAGACAGAGCAAAAAAAATTACATTCAATATCACACAGAGTCCTGTTGATCCAGAGACTATCAGACAACACTAACCCACTGTGTGTGTGTCTATGTGTGCACAAACCTCCTTCTCTTTGTCCTTCTTTTCCCCCTGAAGCCCAAAACATGGAAACAAACATTGATGATGAGACACAGAAACATAAAAACACACATACAACACACAACATGAGAACAAACAATAATGAGGACATATACTGTACACTGTCTGGCAAAAAAAAAAAAGGTTGCTGTTTGGTCTATAATTGGATATTTTGTTGCAGTGGTTAATACATTTCTGTCTTGTTATATGTTTGAAAATGTTTCACCCTAATTGTTACAGTGTGTAGTTTTTCTAAAACTGTGTTATGTTTTCCAGGGCCATATTCCAAGAGAACAATACCCAGATTTATTGCACTCAAATTTTCACACATGAATTGACCACCAATTGACCTCAATCCCCGAAGTCAATATCAAAGAGCATAGTTTTCTTCTCACGGTCAGATTTTAAACATATTTATGATTCTATTCATTTTTAATTACAGTGTCCATTTGACAACATTTGTAGCAAGTGGGAACAGGCCGAGAGGCATGAATTGAAGCCACCAAAATATTCGCCATTTCCTGCCTCCTTTCCTTGAAATGTGAGTTTTAAGCCTGTTACAGCATTGTTTTAACAACCGTATGTAATACCAAACACTTTATTTTAATCTAGAATTCATGATGTTAACAAACCATTAACTAATACACTCAGCTTAATCAACTACTTATTAACTGATTATCAATAGTTATTAAGGTTGTGGTTGGGTTAGGAATGTAAAATAAGATACTTAAGACACTAATAAACAGTTAATATCTTAATAATAGGCAGGTAATAAGCCAATGGTAAATGGTGTGAACTGTTACTTAAACTAAAATGTTACTGTTATTTCCCCTAAAAGTTAAATTAGTAATGCCAGCACCTCCACAATCTGACCTACAGTGTCTTCCCTATTTGACTCTCACGATCACTAAGGTGTTCCTCAGCACATATAAAAGATGTTCCAGGTCGATTGACGGTCATTTTTTGTGTGTGAATATTATGCATTCTTTCACATACAGAGACAAATACATTGTTGTATTGTCATAGAATATGGCCTTGGGATACATCTCCTGACATGGTTGTTGCAGAAATAAAAAGCCACAAGACCGAGAAAAGCAGCCTCCTTTAGAGCAGCTAAACTGCAGCTACATTTTTAAGCTAAATTACAGTGTATTTATAGGTAACATGATGAAAAAAAGATTCATAGAACTGATTGTATTAATTTGGTATGGCAAAAATGTAATATCATGAAGATGATTATGAGACAAAATATGCAGATAAAATTACTGAAATAGTTTTAAATGAAAAAAGTACAATATAATGGGGTTGCATTTAGACAAGGTTACATTTATGCATTTATTTTAGCAAAATACATAAGAAGAGCAATATTAGGAAATGTTTTTCTGTTATTAAATTTTTTTTCTATTACTAAACATATTTTCTATTTTAAAATACAGTTGAAGACAAAATTGTTAGCTCTCCTGTAAAATTGTCAATATTTTTTAAACATTAAAATTTAAAATAAACACACACACACACACACACACACACACACACACACACACACACACACACACACACACACACACACACACACACACACACACACACACACACACACACACACACACACACTCAGTTGAAGTCAGAATGATTAGCCCCCCTTTATTTTTTAATTTTATTTTTTAAAATATTTCACAAATGATGTTTAACAAAGCAAGGGGATTTTCACAGTATTTCTGATAATCTTTTTTCTTCTGGAGAAAGTCTTATTCATTTTGTTTTGGCTAGAATAAAAGCAGTTTTTATTTTGTTTTAAACACCATTTTAAGGACAAAATTATTAGCCCCTTTAAGCTATTTTTTTCTCGATTTTTAACCTAATTAACTTAGTTCAGCCTAGTTAAAAATTTGCTCTTTGTTAAACAGAAATAGGGGGAAAAATTTATCCAGTATACAATCGAAGTCTGATTTATTAGCCCCTGAATTATAAGCCCCCCTGTTTATTTTTTATCGTTTATAGAAAATACTGTTAATAATAGTGTGCATAATAATAATATTAAATAAACAAAAGGGCTAATAATGTGTGTAGGCAAAGTTGAATCTGCAGGGTCACTTGAACTTTTCAGATCAATTAAATTTTGAAAACAGTATTTTGAAATACCCTCAAATTAAAAATAAATAAATAAATAAAATCTAAATGGAAATTAATATTTAAAGACAATTCTTTTGTAACGTTTTGAATGTCTTTACTGTATCCTTTGATTTATGTGTCTTTACACGCACCTCTAAAATAAAGAAATAAATAACTGACCCAAAAATGTTAGTTACAACTTTTTATAAAGTCATCTCAAAACAAAACTTTCTATCGATCCTATGCCTTCAGCTGCACTGCATCTAGTTGCTTTTGATTGATTATTGCTGTCACCTCAGAGTACTGGTGCTCATCCCCTGGGCTGTGAGCACCATAGACATTAAGCTGCATTGTATATAAAGTATACCTACACAAGTAAAGTACAGTACTACCCAAAATACTGTAAGCACACGCACCTTTTCTTTCTTAGCAACGGACTGTAGAAACAAAGAAAAAAAGAGAGAATTAAAACTGACAACACAAAGAAAACCTTAAAAGAGCTGATAATACAAACATCCACAGATGAGCTCTAAAAGCTTCCACATAAATGGAGGAAAGAAGGATCCAGATAAATAATTCTACAGGGTAACAAGAGGAATGAGAAACTGGCCTCCTAAAGATTTGATTTCTCTTCTCAAAGCATCTGACAATCAGACTACTTCACTACGACTGTCATCCATCAAACTGAAGCATTTAGCCCTCACAAACCCACCTTCTGCCTGCCAAGCTGTACATACAGATGAAAGGAGAGATGATAAAAACAACAGTCAATAACAGATGGATGAATGGCAGGGGGTGATAGAGAGAGGAACACTGAAATTGTTAACAGGAGCAGCAGACTAACACATAAAGACTCTTCACAAAGGACTCGTTTGTGCATTAAAATCAGTCAGACGGAGTGAAAATTCCATGACAACCAGAAAGCAAAAATGTTGTATGATTTGATGATATGTGCATCCCAAATCACATACGTGTGCACTACTCTATAAACAGTGAAAATTCTAAAAAGAATAAGTGCCCATTAAATGACTTACTTATTCTACTGTAAATAAAAAGTGTAAGGTCAAAGTCCCTTTTAGACAGATAATTTCACTTGGCAGCCATCTTTGAAACGCCTCTCGGGCAGTATGCTCTGGCGTTCTGTTTAAATGAAGAAACATCAAATTTTCCAAATATGCTTGTCAAGCTTACAATTAATTTTTACATGATATGAATCACCAATAAAATTAACTAACAACTGCCTTTTTAGTTTCATTTCTAAAGGTTCGAATCACACAAAATCTGCAGAAACTCACGTCTGGGCCAAGCCCCTACACCAGAGAATCCTCAGTCTGTAGCAATCGATGATTGGCTGCTGTACTAGTAGGCAGGGCTTCATTCCCCATTCAAAACTTTTAGAGTGACATGTCTTGGGTATTCTAAAGTCTTCATAACTTTATTTTTTAGTAATGTTGAACACTTCATGCACTCAAGCATAGTGAAAGGGGATAAGCTATCGGGCGCTGAGGTTGGATTATTTTATTTATTTTTAATTGTGAAAGCAGATTTTTCACACTGAAAAAAATGATTCATTGGATTTACTAGATTTGTTTTAAAGTCCCCATGAACCGAAAGCTCTTTTTTTTCCGTATTGTGATGCAGTTCCTAGAACAGGGGTCACCAAACTTGTTCCTGGAGGGCCAGTGTCCAGCAGATTTTAGCTCCAAACCTAATCAAACACACCTTAACAAGCTAATCAAGCTCTTACTGGGTATACTTGAAACATCTAAGCAGGTGTGTTGAGGCAAGTTGGAGCTAAACCCTGCAGGGATTGGTGACCCCTGTCCTAGAGAAAATATTTAATGAGAAAACAGTGGGTGTGATTTGTTTTTTTCTGCTGCTAGTAGTAAAGTAGGCAATTCGTTCAGAAAGATCTGGAAAAGGGTTTGGGGAGAGTTATTAAAAGCCAACAGACACCATTTTTCTACTCACTATTTCTGTTTGTTGTCAAAACTGACAGTTGGAGGGCCATGTTTAAGTATGTTAGCCACGCCCATTAACTTAAAATCACAAAATCTGAGAATATAACTAAAAAAAAAACAAGAAGTGCATTACAAGAGGTTACAAGAGCAAACTTTTTTTATATATATTAATGACATGCACAAATGAATTGTTCACCAAAAAACTGGCAACGTGAGCTAACAAAATCAATATGGTTTGGTTTGATTTCATGTGGAATTTAAGGTAACTGGTTGCAAACAATGTATATGGGATGAATTTAAACAAACTAAATTTAGTAATGTTCAACTTAATTTGTTTGTTTAAATTCAGCCCATATAAATTGTTTGCAACCAGTTACCTTAAATTCTTTTGAGTAAATCCAGTGAATACATTTTTCAGTGATAAGTGGTTCTGCCACCTCCCGATGGTGAATGTGGTTGTTCTCATGATCGGCACTATTTGGTAATTTGGTGATTTATTTTATTGATTTGGCAACCATTAAACGCCGCCTGGGAAACGGTTTGAATTTATTTATTAAAAAAAAAAACATTAGTGTTTCATTTGGGATGACACTAAACTCTACACTATCCTTTGTCTAAAGTCAACACTTTAACATGGTTGAGAGCATAAGTGGATAGAGTTTAAGTGCATACTGTGTCATTTGGGACGCAATTAATATTTTGATGTTTACAAAATTTTCATGAAGGCTAAATGTCATTTTTAAAAACACATACTACAGATGAATAACTAATTAAATGTAGTTCAACACTTATTTATTTCTGTAAATCACAATCTGGATTTTTAGCAGTATGACTAGTTTGACCACTTTTCAGTGTCATGTGATGATAAGTTAAACGTTCATTAATATGAATTTTCTTTTTCTTTTTCATTAAAAAAAATCCCAAATAGTAGAATGTATCAGTTAAAAAAAATAAGAAGCAGGAAAAAAAAAATCAACCTTGATAATTATAAGAATTCTTATTAATAATTAACGATAATAATATTCATAGTACAGCAAGTCAGTATATCAAAATGTATTTCTAAAGGATCCAGCATAGGCTCATTTTGAAAACATACCCATTATACATTTCTGGAGATCGCGAATTATGTAGCCAGAAGTACGTTTGACTGCATTTCGTCAGTAAAACGAATGCTACAGGGCGGTATGATGAAGGTCGCGCTTACCAGCTGAGCTTGCCTCTGTGTGGACGACTTTCCCATTGTTACCAGTTTGTTCAGTTTGCTCGCCAGGTACGTCGGCGAGTCAATTAGTGCTTTTAAAAACACTATTGGTTGGGTTTAGGGAAAGAGGAGGGTGGGTCAGTCGGATCGGTCAGTCAGTCGACAGCAATCTTTTGTGTCCAGAGATTTACACAAGAACAGCAGGCGCGAGTGACACTCGTGAGAGAAATTTTAGATTCGAAAAAGTGTACTCAGAGGGCTCTGGTGGATTTGCAAAAACTGCAAAAACTGCAAAAAAAAAAAAAAAAAACTTAGCTTCTGGGACGTATTTGGCACTCTCCAGAAATGTGATGCGACACTGAAAAATGAAGAAATAATGCTAAAGCTCAAGGTATGAATCCCAGAAATACTACAAAAAAATGTTTTAAATTATATTAAATTAATATATATTTTTAATAATATTTAATATACTGTTCAGTATTTACTTGGCATTTGATAAAATAAATTAAGCCATGGTGAACAAAATAAACTTACTGAAAAACATTTTTTTAATGTACTGATCCCAAACTTTTGACCTGTAATTTGTCGATATATAACATTCGATACTTATACATTTATTTGGAGTGAGTTTGATTCATGTTGTGAATTGTCTTTTAACTCCACCAAGGCTGTGCATATTTGACGAAAAAAAATAAAAATAATTATATATATATATATATATATATATATTTATTTATACATGTGGTTTTATATGCCTCCATATGCATCTCTTTCTTTCCTACAAACACCAACGTTTATTCAAAAGATTGATTGCTAAAGAATATTACCATGAACATTGACAGACTACAGTAGCGACACCTGACTCATACAGTACAAACTCAAGGACAGCGGAAGATTTGTCATCTCAGCATCATCTCTAAAATGCAGAATTAATTGAAAATGTCTGTGCATGTCTGGCTTTTAAAAAGTTTGGAAAAAAACAACACAAATCACACAAAGTAATCACGCATTGGATGTAGACACTAGAAGAGCCTGAAATTACTGATGTTATAGTACCAGTTTTTACAGTGGTAAACTATCTATTATTATTCACCACTTTTTATAATAAAGGGAGATCAGGAAATGGAATAAAAGATGGAAATGATGAAAAATAATATGACTGGTTTGATTCAAACTTTATCAAGAGTTTGTATGTTAACTACTTGATCACAAAAAGGTAAACAACCACAATCTAAACCTAATCACAGAAGCACGTTATAAACTATTTGAAGGTATAAATGGCACAGGCACTGAAAGACAGGGTTTCAAAACACACAACACACCCACTAGAGTCAAATGAGTTCACGTTTGCTTTACACAACCAACCTTATTCTCCTTCTCTTTGTTGTCAATCTACAGATGAAAAATATATCATACATTTTTAATTAAAAAAACACCAACCTGCTGAAATCAGTCACAGTACTAAATAAATGTTTATTTAGTACTTTGTCCCCAAAACGTAAGTGCACGATACAAGTTGTATCTGGTGCAACAAACACACACACATACACAGCCTGAGCTTAAACAGTCCAGCCAGAAATTATTTATATCCCTGGCAAATTCTGACTTAAAGTTTTTCTTCAAATATAATAAAAGCTAAGAAATATTTTTTACCACAATGATGCCTCTTGTACAGCGTCTTATTATCTTTTGAAACAAACCTGTGTCATTTCCGGTCGAAAACAAAACAAAAAACTTGCTGGTTAAATAAAAGTAACTAAGTCAGAATTTGCAAAGGGTGTGAATAATTTCAGGCTAGACTGCAATGTAAAAAATGTGTTATTATCAATTGCCATATTTTGTGATCCACAAGTGTTTTCCGTTTATTTACGGGTGTGAATTGCATTATGGGACCTCGATCTCTGCTCTGTTGACTTTTGATGTTGAAAATTCAATTTTACAGTTTAACAAAGTGACATTTACTGACATTTTACCACTTTGAAATAATGTATAAGAAATAGTATATAGAGAAATGAGTCTTTGAAATAACAAAAATGTACTGGCAGTTTATTAGAAGGTTCTTGTATCGTAATATGCACTCACCAGCCATTTTATTAGGTACACCTTACTAGTACCGGATTGGACCCACTTCTGCTTTCAGAACTGCCTTAATCCTTTGTGGCATAGAATCAACAAGGTACTGGAAATAATACTCAGACATTCTGGTTCATATTGACATGATAGCATCACGCAGTTGCTGCAGATTTGTCAGCTGCACGGCCATGATGCGAATTTCCTATTCCACCACATCCCAAAGGTGCTCTTTTGGATTGAGATCTGGTGACTGTGGAGGCCATTTGAGTCCGGTGAACTCATTGTCATGTTCAAGAAACCAGTCTGAGATGCTTCATGACATGGCGCATTATCATGCTGGAAGTAGCCATCTGAAGACAGGTAGGCTGTGGCATTGACATGATGCTCAATTGGTACTAATGGGACCAAACCATTACACCACTACCACCAGCCTGAATCGTTGATACAAGGCAGGATGGATCCATGCTTTCATGTTGTTGATGCCAAATTCTGACCCTACCATCTGAATGTCGCAGCAGAAATTGAGACTGATTAGACCAGGAAACATTTTTTCCAATCTTCTATTGTCCAATTTTGGTGAGCATCACCAAATTGTAGCCTCAGTTTTCTGTTCTTATCTGACAGGAGTGGCACCCGGTGTGGTCTTCTGCTGCTGTAGCCCATCTACCTCAAGGTTTGACATGTTGTGCATTCAGAGATGCTCTTCTGCATACCTCCGTTGTAACAAGTGGTTGTTTAAGTTACTGTTGCCTTTCTATCAGCTCGAACCAGTCTGGCCATTCTCTTTTGACTTCTGGCATCAACAAGGCATTTGTACTCACAGAACATCACTAGATGAATCACTAGATATTTTCTCTTTTTTGGACCATTCTCTTCTCTGCAAATCCTAAAATGGTTGTGCATGAAAATTCCAGTATCAGCAGTTTCTGAAATACTCAGATAAGCCCGCCTGGACCCAATAAACATGACGCGTTCAAAGTCACTTAAATCAGTTTTTTTCTGTATTCTGATGCTCTGTTTAAACTGCAGCAGATCGTCTTGACCATGTCTACATACCTAAATGCAATGAGTTGCTTCCATGTGATTGGCTGATTAAAAATTTGCGTTAACAAGCAGTTGGACAGGTGTACCTAATACCGTGGCCGGTAAGTATCTTTTTCAAACTTTTCAATGTTAAAAGTTGTTGAAAGAAATATCAAGGTCACATAATTCAATTTAAAAGCATAATAAATAGGGGAATAAATTTCATAAAAACATAAATCACAAAAAGTATGAAAAACTATTAATTTACGGATATTTTTTACAATGTGTGTATGATTTGCAAACTTTTTCGTGAATTCACCTCATATACGTAAAGTATCACTCCAATATGTAATACATGACATAGTTATAAAGTTGATTCCTAGTCAGTGGACCTTCACAGTGTAGCTCTGTGGTTTGCTCAGTATGAAGAGTTCTATTAATTAGCCTGTATTATGTAATGATGCTGATGTTAACCCAGATGAAATCATTAGCATCACAGCTGGAGTCCAGAACACAAACTCCACACGACTCTTCACTTCCCAGTCCTCACGCACCTCCAACACAACTTTGGTTTGGATAAATATTCTTTAGCTTGCATTTAAGACTAACTCTGCTTACTCTATGAAAAGAGAAAAGCAGGGTATTTCATTCTTCACTAATGCTTGTATTTGGATTCACTGCTCTTAGTGGAATACTGGAATCAATTAAGGCACAAAGCTCAGCTGGAGAAGTGAACGCTTTTGATCCTTTTTGAAGCTTTAACGCTACATTAAATGATCTGGTTGCAATTAATGGGTCAATTAAGCTTTAATGTGCAAAAAAGAGTGTGACTGCAATCTAAAAACCCATCTGTTTCATTAGATTTACAGATCTCTTCTAGTCTTAAAACTAGCTCATCCAAAAATACAATTATTAACTCCCCTGTTTAGTTTTAAATGCTGTATTTTTTTTTTTTTTTTTTGGGATGTTTTACTTCACTTTGGGGTGATTTTGAGGCTTAATTTGGCCACAATTTTCTCAATGTTTTAGCAAATGGAAGGATTTTTGATGACAAATTTAATTTTGACACATATTTTGGGAAAATGTTTTAAACGTTTTCAAAAACTCTGAGTAAACTTACAACACTTTCATTATGTTGGTGGCTGTTTTTGCCCCATTTACTTCCATTATAACAAAATTTTTTGAAAGCAAAGCCCTGACAGCATTTAATCATGCATTCTTGATTGTTGGTGGTTTTCCCTGTTTGGATGTGGCAAAACACTTACTGTTGATCAACAGAAGCAGTGCAAAAAAAAAAAAAAAATTGAATGCAAACTATATGGTGTGTGTGTGTGCCTATAAACACTTACCTGAAAACAAAATGAACACCTCATCTCTCACAAAATAGTAAACATGGTAAGTGTATTTATGCAAACACATTATGATTTGAGGTTTTACTCCATAGAACTCCATATAAAAGACAGAAACGTTTTTGCACAGGCCTATCTAAGGTTTAATGGTGCCAACTGATGATTAACAGTAAAAAATTACAAATTTTACCTCTTCTCAAGTAGGAATCAAGAATGCATGATTATATAGTGTCATGGCTTAACAATCAAAACATTTTATTATAATGGAAGTCAATGGCCCAAAAAACAGCCACTTAGCCACAAGGCTTAAACTGTAAAACCCATTTCAAAAACAACATGAATGAAACAAGTACATGAAAATCCAACAGACTAATATTCACAACCGTGTTCAAAATTAGCAAAGAAGGATATAAAAATAAATCAGTATTTTTCCTCTTTTAAAATTCTATAAATTAATAAAAAGTTAACAAAGCCAAATACTTATCCATCAGCAGTCAATACAATCAAAGAATGTAGTTCTGATGTGCAGTAAAACACTGTTGGGCTTTATAGAACAGAAAGTAAGATTGAAGTATTAAATGAAATAATACAAAATTAAGTATAATTTGTCAAAGAAGGTTTAAATTAGAAATCCTCTGCTCTCTTTTAAAAGCAACCTCCAGAAAACTCAGCTGACAGACTTCAAACGGGACTCAGAATAAACTTTAGAAAAAGAAGAAGAAGAAGAAGAGTTTTTTTGGCAGCACAGAAGCTGGTTGGAGATTTGTAACATTCTTTCCAGGGAGTACAGATGAAAAATAGCCCCTGGCTAACTCTTTTAGAGAAATGTTTATTAATGTGCACTGTCCATGAATAAATAAATAAAAATAAAATTGTTTTGTTGCACACAGAGATAGAAAAGCACCCTATCATCACAGGTAAATATATTGCTGGATCTTTAATATTGTTAATGTATTATTCTGCCGAAGATCCTGGATATTTTGATTAGCATCATGGGCACTATTAAGAAATAACATCTGAAAAAAAAGACATAAGGACCAAAATATCGCTCCTATAAATGTGCCAGAACAATAACTTAAAAAAAGAAAAAGCTTTAAAATAAACACAAAAAGGGCCATTAAGCACAAAAACAAGGTTCTGCCTTAAAGAGAAGTGCACCAACATCAACCAGGAAATTTGAATGCTTGATATTCTCTAAACTCTTGATGCAAAAAAAGAGGTTGCAAATACACTGAACAATCATTAAACTTTAATGAAAGGTTAGCTTTGTTTGTTTTAGGTAACACAGGAAAAACAACACATGCTTCTTTTCAAAGCCTTCTTTGCACACATTTAGCAAGAGTGTCAGTAATTTTGACTACGGCTGTAGTTTTGATAAAAAGCTTTTCTAAAAGACTCTGATTATAAATTAACATACCTCTGATCCTTCTGAATCTGAAATGCCAGACTAATGGGAAAGACATGGATATACAAATCAGACAAAACTTAATAAACAGACACAAACTAAACAATTATAACAGATCAAATTAAATTAAAACAGAAAAAACAGACATGAACTGTGTGAAAATGAAATCTAATTACATTACTAATTCATTAAGATTGAGGCCAGAACATTTTTTAATGTTTTATGTTGTAATGTTTTTTTAATATTAATACAAATATTCAGCGATGATATATCAAACTGGTAAAAATGTGCCTGTAAGTTGTTTTACTGAATTATTCTTTAGTTCCATATTCAAAAGTGCAGTAATAACTATAAAAGTCTTCAAAAGTATCAGTTTTAAGTTTAAAAAAAAAGTTTTAAAATGGAAAATTATAAGAAATGTATTTCATTAATATACTGCAACCTCCCATTGGTTAATTATACAGTAATAAATTAATATTAATTAAATATACATAAAAAGAAAGATTTGTTTAAGAAGTGACATTTAAGACTAAACAAACTAATTACATTTTCAAATATATTATGATTGAAAATGTACAATAATGTTATTAATTAAATGTATTTTTTAAAATCCCCTTGGACAGCATATTAAAGTGTTTGAAAACCTAATGACCCCAGACTTTTCATCAGGAGTACATCTTACTGAAAATTCCAGAATTACTAAAAAGACGTGCAGTATCTCGTTGCTAGGCAAATACAGCACTGTATGATAATTGCTGCCCTGCCTCCAGTCACTTTGTCACTGAATATCTCTTTCAGTCTAAACAGCCATTTCTAATGATTCACATATTTGATAAACAGCTTCATAAAGAAGGTGAGACTCATGACCGTTTCTCACCTTAGCATCTGATTCATCGGACTGGTAATGAAAAATAAAGAGCAGAGTGAGGAATAGTGAAAACAAAGAACAAAACAGAAAAGAGGTGCTGCTAGGTAGTGGCAGAAGACTTTTAGTGCCTTATTGATTTGTACAAAATCTTTCAAAACACCCACACATACACTCTCATGGCACCACACACTACTCTGTACCACAGTGTTAAGTGTACAGACCTCATTCCCTTCATCATCGGTGATGGCCTGAGCAGAAAAGACCAAAAGAAACACAATTTTGTGTTTGTGACTCACAGTTTTGAACAAATATGCTCATAAACAAGATAGCCCACATCTGAATACACCAGAACAACATTGGTCCAACTAGTAGAACTTTTATGATAGCATTGGTCACATTAAAGTAGCTCACACTTTACTGACAAATGTGGTCAAGCATCAAATGAATGCAATGTTGCTTATGAATAAAGAAAAAGCAGCATACATTTCTAATGTATGTTTAATGTATTTGGTAGCACTTTATAAAAAAGTTGTATTAGTTACTGTTAATTAATGCATTTAATAACATGAACAATACATTTATTACAGTATTTGTTAATGTTAGTTACTGTTAATTAATAAAACCGCACTAGTTCATTGTCATTGTTAGCATGTAAATGCATAAATGTTAACAAGCAATTATTAATAACGCATTAATAAATGTACTTATAAAAGATGTATTAATGCTGTACAAGTATTGTTATAGTTAGTATTGCATGGTAGTAAATACATTAAGTCCGGATGTAACGATCCACTGTGAGTCGGTTGAAAATCGATTTAAATTCGTGACGATTCAAACCAGTACAATGTTGAATGAATCGCTATACATGTTTTGAACAGGGGGGGTGCTGTTTTACAGGCACAAGCTTGCTTTACCTGCACATTAGCGGTGCGCTGGGGCGGCGAACTAAAATGACAGTGGTGAGATGCGCCAGTCAAACACAAACTGTGTGCAAATACTGCAAAATGCCACGCTGCCCAAAGTTTTAGTTTGTTGCTAGATCAGACCGTAAGTTAATGAAAATTATTATTACCCATTAATTGTATTTTATTAACATCTACCATCACCCCAACCCTTAACCCAACCATCACAGTAACACAAAAACAGTAGTTGTACCGAGTATTATTTATGTTATTTATTAAATTACCCAACAAATTGTATTTTTTTAACTTCTACCCATATCCTAAACCTAACCGTCAAAGTATTGTAAAAACATAAATTATTGTATATTAACAATAATTGTTAATAATATAATAAATTGTTAATAATTATAATAAATATTAAAATCAGTATTTAATGCCAGTGGGCAGTTCCCTGGACCAGAGGACCTATTGACCGCCTAGGTACACATTGCTTCCTCTCTACAACACCAGCCATCTCAGTTCCCAGTGAAAGAGTTTTCCCATCAGCAAGGGACATTGTAAATGTGCTAAGATCTCAGCTTAAAGCAGAAAACAAAGATATGCTGATATTTCTTCTAAAAAATGCCAAATCCCAGCACAGTCACAGTTTTAGTTGGTTTATATAAAAAAGTCTTTTTTGGTTTGTATTATTCACTATTTTATTTGGATTTTGTTTTAAAATTCTAATTTAGTTATTGCACAAAATACGTTATCTTGTAAAAAAAAAAAAAAAGTGCAGTATTTGAGGAAAAATAAAATTGCTCTTGTTTGTCTCAAATAATTTTGTCAAAATTACAAAATTGTGAATCGTGAGATTAGTATCATGAATCATATCGAATCATGAGTCAGGTGAATTGTTACATGCCTAACATTAGGTAATGAAACCGTATTGTACAGTTTTGTACAGGACAAAAATACTGAGGAAGACTTTTTTTTCCTAGACAAGAAATATTCATAGCTGGTTAATGCTTTCAATTCACATTCTATCAACACACCTCCTCCTCATCGTCCTCAGGCTCCTCCTCATCCTCCAGCTGAGAGTTCAAAAAGAGATCAAAGTTACAGTGTTTTAGGGATTTCATGCTAAAGAGAACAACACTACTGTGGGCGGATATGGGCGGGACTTAGGAGGAGCAGTGAAGGCACTAACCTAGGGAAAGAGTTCAAATAATACAACACACTACGGTACCCAATCACAGAGAGGGTAACTTAGGGAAGGTTAATCTCAAAAATACATGTCTTCACCTACCCTGTGTTCCTCAGCAGTATACTACACACACACACACACACACACACACACACACACACACACACACACACACACAATACACAAAGATTAGCTAGGCAAAAACACAATATTCATCACTCGCACATATCTACTCAAAATGCACGCACACACAGACAACCTACTGTATGAGAAACAAACTGCCGTCAAAAATGACATTTTCACATTTTCCAACAGATGATTCACCAGAAATTCCAAAATGCAAAACATTTAGATGAATTCATGACAGATTATAAACACTCAGTTGCTCATCACCAATATATCAGCAGCAAAATGCCAGAGGGCCCATCTTTCACAAACTAAAACCCATACAATTCAGATTCACCAGTTACACAGAGCATAAATCATGCAACACTCAATTATAGTGATCGTTGAAGAGTTAGCATATAGCTACGGTTAGTGTCTTCACTTAAAAAAGGAGTAAACCCATTGTAACTTGGAACTGTTATGTTGACTTAAAGGGCACCTATGATGAAAATCATCTTTTGTAAGCTGTTTGGACAGAACTGTGTTTAGGTATAGTGTGTCCGCAGTCATATTGGGGTGATAAAAAAGTTTAGTTTTTTATTTTCTGACGTTAAAACAGGATCCAAATCGCTCCAATTTGGGGCTGACAGCAATGTGTCATACTGTAGGAGTGCGGTTTTCCCGCCCACAGAATTGATTGACAGCTGTGTCTACGTAGTGCGTATAATCATATCAACAAGACAGGATGTGCACAAAGCCACCGACATTAAAAGATCTGTTCAGCTCTCTGTGATCATCAATTATCATCAAATGTGATCAAGAATAAGTTTTACAAGTTTAACATGTTTTTAAAACAGTGCATGTTTATAATGAATTTAAATAAAAGTAAAGTGATTTTACTTTATTACCACAGCTGCATGCCAGTACAATTATAAAAGACATTTATTTTGTGTGTGACTTAACGAAAGTCTTGAATGAACTCCACAAGACTACATCAAATAATAATCGTTGGTAAAGTTCTTACTGTAGTATTTCACACAAACATTACACGAGATCTGCTTCCTTCATGCAGGCACGTGGGAACGGTGGGCGGGGAAAACCAGCATTAAAGGCACAGGCACCAGCTAAAAGATCCTCAAAGCTGAAAATTACAAACTTCAGTAAGGTATAATAAATAATCTGAAGGGTGTTTTGAGCTAAAACTTTACAGACACATTCTGGAGACACAAAAGACTTTTCTTAAATCTTGAAAAGGGGTAAAATAGGTGCCCTTTAACAGATTTTTTTCTTGAATTATATATATAGTTCATTTTACACAATAATTTTCAGACAAATTGTTTATTCACTTTTTAAGTAGGTCAACTATTCGCTTTAAAAGTAATGAGTTCATTCGCTTTTTTAAGCAGTCAACTAATCGCTTTTTAATGTAAGCAAGCAACTTGAAGCTCTAGACTACATTCAAAAAGTACAAACAAATATAGAGTTATGCCTTTATCTAATAAAGATACATGTAATATTCACATGATGCAAAATGAAGTATACTTTTGTTCAAAATTACAGGTTCTCTTTGAGAAATAAAATCATGCATTTATTCCAAAAAGCTACATTTTGAAGCTCATTAGAATGGAAAGCGGTTCTTTTAAAATATACACTTTTGCTGTATTTCTGATATATTATTTGCATCCTCAATGTAAATGTAATAATTTTTTAAAACAATGTAAAATTGCTGAACAGTATTCCGAACATTATATGGCCAAAAAACAAATAAACTACCACAGTAACTTTTGTACTAGCATGCTCTCCTGAACATTTAAAACACCTTGCACCATATCTGACATCATCCATTTTCTACAGTACCAACAGAGTACGTTTCTGCTTCTGTAGCAATAAAAAAACAACTAAAAACAAAGCTTAAGTGAAAGCTCACAAAGCTCAGCAAAAACAGCTACAGTAAATGTAGTTTCCATAAGCAGCTATTTCCGATTAATGGTCATGCCATAAGCTGTTATTACTTCATGTCTCACAAACCTGTTTGGCTCCCATAGACTCGAACATCTTCTCCAACATCACCCGCATCTGCTGAACATTATTCATCAGCACACAGGGCTGTAGGAGATTCAGGAGGAGGCCGAAAACACAAGAACAGAGAAAGACACAGAACTTAGTCCTAATTGGCCTCTTATGGCTGTCACATACCAAGCTGTCGGTGGCAAAAGCAGAATGTCGGCAGGTCATGGCCAAAACGCTGCCCTTGAACACAGATAAAGAACTATAGGCGACCGGCAACTAATATGCACTGTATGTTTTTTGCAGCTGTGTGCACAGAAATAAATCTCTATTCTAGTAGGTAGTAATAGTCTGTTTGCCTCATTCTCCTCGTTCACTAAACTGAACATCCAATCATTATGATATCTTTCTCCAGTGGCCGTGACATTTTGAACAACCTGACTAAATATGTAATGTGAAATACAGTAGAATAATTCGAAGCTGAATACGATGCTGAATGATAGTTTAAAATAGATATAATCTATATATAGTATAATATTACTTTGATTATATTACATTTAGACCAAATATCAAATTCCCTGACTTTCCCTTACTTTATTTGACTTACATAATGAAATTTCATGACATTAAATAAGAAAAAAATATTGAATAAATAAACAAGCACCTGTTGTGCTTATATATTAATAATATAACATTAAAATAATGTAAAAAATAAAATCAATATTGGAATAGTTTTAGCTTTAATATCATTTTACTTGACTTTATAGCCACTATGAGAACAACAATTAATAATTTGAATAATAATAATGAATAATAAAACATTACATTAGCTTTTGTGTCATATACTTTGTAACACACAGCCTTTGAAATGTTCATTTTAAAGCCAAAGCTCTTTAAATGTGTATTATGCTGATGGTAACACTTTACAATAAGGAAGTATTAGTAAACGTTAATGCATTAGTTAACATGAATTATTAGTAAACAACTTTTCAGTTAAACAGTCAAAATCACTAAATGAAATAAGTTCCTGTAGTTTGACTTAAGTTTGATAGTGTATTAAAAGGTTACTTTAACTCAGTGAAAAAAAGAGTTATCGTAACTCATGAATGAATTATATTATGCAATTATGAATGAAAGCAATACTAAACCATTTGAGTAGCTATATAGTTGTTTGTACTTCATTTGTTGAACTTAGTGATTTGATAAGTGAACTCACAGTTACTAATACTAACAGTTTGACAACACAAATTATCAACACAAATAATATATGTGTATATGATTCTATTTATAGTCATAGTCATATTGTTTACAGTACTCAAACCAGATTGTTTTAAAACGTAAATGGTTTGCTGCAATTGGTTTCCTCAAACAGTTTGAGTTATCTTTACTTATTGGGTTTTACAGTGTTAATCAAGGGTAATGTTATCTAGAAACATGTATTTATGTGTTACTTAATACACTTGTTAACATAAACTAATGGTAATCACAACTATTATTCAGCATTACATAATCTTAATGTCAACTTACTCGTATTGTAATGCACCTCTTCACATTAACAACCTAATTAGTTCATGTTTACTTACACATATCACTTACACATTTACTAATCAGCAATACTAAATCTGAGTTTTAACCTAAACATATATCAAAGTGTCAATTAATAAATTAGTTAATGCATTAGTTAAAGCATTAGTTAACATGAACAAGCAATGAACAAATGTTAGCAACACATTAGATAGTTGATCATGTAAGAAATGAAGTCTGCCTCAACCCAACTTCCACTCTAATGATGTGTTGATGTGTTGATTTCCCAAAGGGCTGAACTATGATAGAAAAGAGAAGTCAACAGTTTGTTGTCTCTGCATTGTTTGAGGTGATTACATCTTGGCCAAATGGTAACACTTCTAGAATGGGGATGGGTGTGATGCACAGAGAACCACCTCATCAATGGTGTGGAAACCAAGGGCAAGTCTAAAGGCAACATCTAAAACCGTATAAAAGGTTTGAGTTTAAGAATGTTCAGGGTTCATTCTGACTAAAATGAAACCAGGGTACTGCCATGTATTTTAAGACTGCTATGCTGAATAAACATCTTCACTGAGATCTAAGTCTCAGTAATTTTTAACTAAAAAGTAATTTTTTCCTACAATCATTAGTTCATGTTAACTAACGTATTACATATTAATTTATGTTTGGTTGATATTAACAAAGATTACTTAAGGTTTAACAGATGTGTTAATTGTCACTGTTAATTTAACACTGTAAAAAAATTAAATAACTGCATTTGACTTAAGTGACTGGCAATAGAGTGGAGGAACTATGACGTCAATTTGTATGCAAAAACCCGGAAGCGGGTTAGCATTTTAGCAGTTCCGGTTCTCTCGTCCCAAAGTCAATGGGTTTTTTGAATGGGGTTTCAGTAAATCGCTTAAATAAGGTTTGTGGCAAACACAAACTCAAGATACTTTCACGTTTTGTTCTACAACATAAAACACATCAGTTACATCCGACTCTTGAGTTTTTAAATCAGTTACGCGTCTTTAAAAAGATGGTTGCTATCAAGTTGAACACATTATATGTCATCAAGCTGAACTTGTCTGGAGCGCAGCCCGCTTGTGTTGGGCATTTGGATTTGTCTGTCAATTAAGTCTTTTCATTAAAAGTATTTTATAGTTTGAAGTGTTTTTCTAATTGGGATTTCATATTGTGTGTAGATAATGCCTTCACTTGTAAAGACTGTCGAGGCAGAATAGCTTGTTGATCTTTTAATTAAACGATATTATGAAGATACTGCTCACCAGCACAGCCTGTTTCTTTCCTGCTCTCAGTATTGCAAACGTGTGAATAAATGTGTAAAAATATATGCATGTTAACTGTCATTTTAACGTGATCAAGTGATTTGATTCTGTCATAACTGCAATCTTTATACTCCTCTATAAAATGTATAACAGATTTGACTGTATGAGCTGCTTTTCGCTGTAATTTGTGACAAAAAAAAAGGATTATCGAATGTTGCTCTGTGTCCATGATGGAACTTGCTGGCATTTAAAAGACTTATTCCTCACACCTCATTTCTGTCGTCTGTTAAGGTAAGCAGGTTGTGTGCACTTACACTTACTTAAATTTGTCTTATGATAATACTATGTAGGCACATTTATACATACAGTTTTTAAACTTTCAGAACAACCGTAGAGCAGAACAGATCCAAAATGCGTAGGTCTATGTGTTTTTGCGTATTTATTTGTTTATAATATATAGCATGGATTATAATATGATAAACTGAGAGATTAAATCTTTGTCATGGACCACATTTCTTAAAATAAGCTAGAAAAGTTGTCTGTAGTAGGGTGGTGCTGACGTCACAGACGAGCGCCCCGAAGGCACTGTAGTCCGTTTATAGCCTAATGTTAGCTTTTCAGTTCTTGCATTTGCATTTAAAATCCAAAAGTGCTCAAAGTTGTATTTTCTTGTAAGGATTATCCGGCTGGACAAAATGTTTAAGTGAACAGTGTTTGAACACAAAGCTTACTATTTGCAAGCTATGAAAAACCTATGGGAAAATCCTATAGGGATTTTATCAAGGGAACCAGTTTTATGCTAGCAGCCGATTTGCCCACTCTATTAATGATTGTGAAAGGATTCAAATGGAGCTGAAAAATATTCTAACAATAACAATAGACATCAAAACAGCTTGATTTAAAAATATATGGTATAGAAATATTATATGAAAAATTATATGAATAATGGAAACTACAGTATAATTTAAACCATTAAACAAAATCCCAATATTTTCATGACTAGGACAAAAATTTATATACAATATATAATATATTATAGGTATTCAGTTTAAGTAAATACCGCAATCAAACTACTACCGTCATGGAGGACTTTTCGCCATATATTCCGACAAGATCCACACACGTGGATGTCAGTAAAGGACCATACACATTTTTTTTCCAGTTGGCGTGAGTTATTAAATTCCATAAAACTCTCACCACTCCTTACTCCTTTATTTGCATCTAATACCCCAGTTTGTATTTGGCATGAATGAAATGTTCATGAGTTAAAGGTAAACTGCCGAACTGCAGTTAAAGCCAGGCATCCTGCTGATTTGATTCAGAAGGGCACTTTTTTGTCAGACGGCTCACCGTTCAGGTATGCATCCACGCTAAAATATCAAGGTGAAAGTCATCATAGCTTGCGTAGACTAGACTTAGCTCCCAATCCAACTTTGAGAATTGATTTAACGGTGATATTTTTTATCATGCGATAAGAGTCTCACGTTAACGCCAATAACAGTCCACCACGATAATATACGTATAATATAATATATATAAACATTTCCTAAATTTCAATGTCTACAATAGGCCTTTTAAAATTCTATGAACTTCCAGAAATCCAATGCACTGTGGGAAGCCCTGTCTGTCATAGCCTTTATGGTGTAACACATTTGATTACAAAGGTCTAAACAGTTTGAACACAAATAAACAGTATTTCTCACCGTCTTTTCTTTCTCACAGTAGGTGGAGAAGCTCTTGGTTAGAATAGCACAATACTGCAGGAGCACTTTGGTGATAGTCTGAGAGTGAAAGGATAGGAAAAAAAAGAAAAAGAAATGTTATGTAAAGTAATTGAACAACACCTTGTATTGAGCTGGAATGGCAGATTAATTGACTTTGTTGTTGAAAACTAATGAATTTTCATGGGTGGATGCATTAAGCTGTAGTTTTGTTCCCTGAAATAGATCTCAAAGTGCTGATTAACAAAAAATAATGCAAAAAAATTATGAGATCATGTCAGATAATTCCATTTGTCACTGTTTTCACTAAATTCGAATGAAATGTAAATACATCTCAGCTCCTAGAAATCTGTGTGGGCTTCAACTAAGATGTCTCTGCGTCAGACGTCTAAGTTAAATATGACTCACGGGCTAAGAAACAGATGGTGATGCTCTAAAGACAAACACTCTGCCTGCTAGCAGCTTATATTTCTCTTTCCTCCATTTCGCATAAATCCTCATTCCATCAGTCTCTTTTTCTCTGTTATCAGTATTATCTTGGCCATTTTGTGAATGTGGCTTTAACCTTGGCAAAGCGTCGGTTGTACTGGGCGACCACTGCAGGATCAGGACAGTCTAGTTTCTTGATGATCTCAAAGCTTTGGTTGAGCTGAGTGAAGATGTCCACGACTGAGCAGGAGAACAGAGCGTGCTCAGACGTCTGCTGGAACTGTGGGAAACAAAGACAGGAAAGAATTTTAGCCTAGGAGTTTCTTACATTATAGGCACTTTTTCTATGTGATTTTTTTTTTTAGAAAATAATCCTAAAATATGCTTTAATCAATGTATCTAATTTTATCTCATTTCGACTGATTAAATTTTGATTTAATTGAGGAGCATGTTATTTCTGAAAGCCATGAGGACTTCCTAAATCAGGGTTTCTGCAGGCTTCTTCAAATCAAATTTAGGACTTTTTAAGACTCTTTTAAGACCATTACGAATGGAATTTTAGACTTACGCAGGGCTAAACTCTAAGCATTTTTCTAATGGCCCGGTTACTTCTGTAAATTGTTTTGTATTAATGGAAGATCATGTAAAGGGATGTGTTGCTTTAGTTTTCTTTCCCTGATTAGGGAATTTAATAAGGTAACTTTACTTGGATAAAAGAAAATTAAGACCGGTTTAAAATGATTTAAGACCTACAACACTATATTTCAGTGAATTTAGGATTTTTTAAGGTCTAAAAATTTTTTTTTTTAAATTTAGACATTTAAAGATTTTTAAAGCCTCTGCAGACACCTTGTAAATATGCATAATTATAGTAAACCATATAGTAAATAGTAACCTTATAAAGTAAACCTTTTAGCATAATTTCACAAAATTAAATTAAACAAGATTTCTCATTGAAAAAATTAACATGACATTGTGCAGGCATAATAAAAACATATTACAGAAATATTACAGAATATTAAAGAGGTTTTACAGATGTTATGTTACATAAAATATTAAAGAAATGTATAAAATAAATCAAATGTTGGTTTAAGGCTGGGCTGATAAATGATATTATATTGAATCGCAATAAAATGTATGTCAATAACAATGATAACTATGGACTCTGAATCTTGATCTAAGAGCCAATCACACAGCAGAAATGTGCAACAATGGGAATCTAACAGTGTGTTGATATTAGAGATGTACCGAAGTTTCCTCCACTGAAAATTTCTCAGCCAGAAATATGTTATGACATTTAATTAACCCTTTAATTTCCCTTTTAAATCTGGAAGCATTAACAACCTTTATCGAAATGTATATCGCCATCGTTCAATATGGAAATTAATTCTCGAGTTTGCATTTTGCCATATCGCCCAGCCCTATTTCATAATGATAACAAAATATTCATCAGAATACTAACATATAATAATTCTATGTTTATAGTGGATTTTAATATTCTCACATTGATTGACTGCATCTGATTTAAACGTAAAGCGGTAAAATATAATACTACAGCTTAAAAGTTTGGGGTAAATGTTTTTAAAATACAGTTTCTACTAAAAATTTTTAAACAGCACATCTTGGCTTTTGGTTTCAACATTTATTTTTAACAATAAAAAAGTTTAATCAGCACATTCAACATACTGTATTAAATTTATTTCTGAATAAATGAGCAACACCAAGACTGGAGTCATGGTTACATTATTGTAATTAATCGTTACAATATTAGGATAGAAAAGAGCCTTTTAAATTTTCATAACATAATAAGCATAACATCTATAAAAATATTACAAACTGTACCAACCCCAAATCTTTAAACAGCACTGCTGAGACAAAATGTGAATACATTTGAAAGCAGAAAAGAATAGCTGAAAGAAAAGCCAAAGCCTGATAATAGCTTTTATAAAAATCAATCCACTAACAGGTAGTTGACAGCAAGAAGCAATTCATTTGACAAGAAATGTTTTAAAGCCCAGCAGACCAACAACCAAAAAGCCATAAATAAGAAAGCTGCCAAAAAAAGTATAGTTTTTAAACCATACCCCCTCTCTTTTATCCCTCTCAAGGGCTCCATGCATAAACTCCATCGACACTTCCTCATTCTCAGTCAGCCATTGGAGAACAAATGGCAGAAACCACCTACATACGAAATGAAGAAATATAGAAAAACAGGAGGAGGAACCAAGCAGGAGAGCAATAAGAATCAAGAGGTCAAGAATGTTTAAAAGATAGGAAAAGTATTTGGCACAGTAGATGATGACAGTGTACAAGGTAAATCTACTTAGAATATGAACAAACTGCAGATTATTTGAAGAACAAAAGAGAAACTTGAGCCAAAGATGCAGTGAGAGAGTTTTAGATGTGGCGTGACTCACGATGGGTACTCGGGGACGGTGTTGGAGAAGGCGGGCAGGTCATGGACATATTCGTTGTAGAGCCATTTGACTTTGAAATGCAGATTCATGTAGTCGGCACTTTTACACAGCCGGAGCTTCTCATGCTCTGGGGAAACAGCAAGCGCGAGTCGACAGGATTCATTTCATTTTACCTTGTCACGAATTTCACCCAGTCAATGATTGCAATCCTTTGGCTTTAACATATATATTCTCCACCAAGCTTTAAATTGAGAATAAACTGCAGGGTAATCTCTCAATCTTCAACTGCAAACACACACAGATGCTAATGCTAACAAAACACATTTCATACACATACACTGCCACTCACTTCTTCCATAATTTGAAAAAGGTAACACAGTACATTTATATGTTCTCTACATGTAAACTTATAGGGAGCAGACAATGGGCAGAGATTTTTAGATGTTAGCATCAGTATCTTAGACTTAATGATATCTATAAGCTAGTGTGCTCCAAAAAAACAGAGGCAAAATTAGCATTTACAGGATATTAACCAGATATACAGACAGGAATCAGAGAGTAAAATTCACTACCTTTTAAGACTTTTTTTATAGACTCTTTCCATACACTTTAAGATCTTATAACCACTTTAGGTGTTAACCAGAAACACTGGCAAGATTTTAACTTACAGTATATTTACCAAATATTAACCTAAGAAACTAATCTAAAACTAAATCATTATTCATGTACTGAATACAAATCTATTAAATCTAGCTAATTTAGCAGGTTGGCGCCTGTAGAGCTGCAGAAATAATGTTGTTCTCTTTCTTACTGCAGTAAACGAAGCAGCATGATGTTAAATCTAGTAGGATTTCATTGATTTCATAAACTACACAGCATCCTGATATTCGCAGATTTAATTCTTTAAGACTTTAATACCTTTTAAGGGCATTACATTTCTCAACATTGATTTATTAACTTTTAATACATTTTAGGACCCCGCGGATACCATTTAAACTTTCAAAGTTTGCAGTTTGTCACTTCAGCCGAAATGGATACATTTTAACTTCAGTTTCTTATCAAATCTTCTGACCAATTAAATGCTCTCTAGCATATAACATGCCCCGCCCCCTTCAAGACATTTCTCATTTGCTTTTTATTTGATCAGCTCACTGACAGAGCTGTGATAAACACAAAATGCTATTGGCTGATAGATTCAAAAAGGAGAAGGGCTACTATATGCCCTGCACTGTCTTCATGTTTCAGTTGAGATGGCATCTCACATCAAATAAAAACGCACATTTCAAAGCACTTCATGGAAACTTTAAGGGGGAAAAAATGGTAACACTTTTAAAATAATGTTCCATTAGTTATTGTTCATTAATAAATTTACCAACATGAAAAGTAGTAACAATCTTGTACAGCATTTATTATTCATAGTTCAACATTTACTAATGAAAATGTATTAACTTTTTGCCTAATTTGACTAAATAAAAAAATCTGTCAACATGTTTTGCCACTGTGGAGCTATAATTAAACAATATTACAGAATATTACAAAAACGTACAGATGTTATATCAAATATAAAATTAAAATGCATTAAGTTGTGAATGTCAACATTTGTAATGTATTGAGTTAGCATGAACTAACAATGAATTACTATATTTTTATTGACTTATTATGAAGTTAGGGTTTCTGCAGGTTTCAGCAGGTAAATTAAAGTCTTTTAAATATATTTTTTGACCATTATGAATGTAATTTTAGACTCATACAGGGCTAAATGCTAAGGAATTTACTGAATGGCCCAGTTGGAAAAGATTTTTTATTTGCCTTATCAAACTTTTTAAAATAATTCAATAAATTTTATAATAAAATAATAACTAATTATTTAAAAATATATTTGAGTTAATTCTGAGCAAAATATTTTAAATCAAGCAAGCTGTAGATGTATATATAAACTTTTTTTCCCAACATAACCTTTCTTAATTAATTAATTTATTTTTTTAAGTTTGAAAGGTATAAAAACTAATAAACTAATAATAAACTAAATTTATACACAACAGTTTATCCAGGTCAGCAGTAAATACATGGAAAACTTTAAAACAAATGTTATTGTAAGGATAAGGAATATAAGTATTTTAAGGAAAAAATACTTAACACATTATGATAAATATTAAAAATATATTTTATACTGATCTCTACAACGCAAGTCATTTTGCTGGTCTGCTCCCAGGTCTGCTCCCAAAAACTACAACATGGAAACAACTTTTTTACTGTCAATAAACAAATAATTTTTTTTTATTATTGTAATATTCTACTTATGATCAAGTAAATGCCTTTGTGAGCACAAAAATCAACTTTTGTGCACACATACAGTACATTCTCACAGTGACTTAACCACATGTCTTACCAGCATAAAAATCAAGTCTGCGAATATGGAATGAGGCGGGTGCTAAAAACAAGAAAACCAAGCAAAAGAGAAGGAAGACATGAAGAACACTTGAGAAAAAATGAAAACGTTTAGGGTGCAGTGAAAGAGGGAGTTTCAAAAGGAAAGGATGCTGGCATCAAAAGGAAAAGATAATTCGTTCAGTCTAACTCTAGTTTACTGCTACTCAGAAGATCTAAAAGGAAACCGGGGGGTTTATTCTATAACTCTGTTTTAGTAATGAGAGAGTGAGAACTTGAGACCAAAAAAAAGTGCTTTGAAACTTTAAAGGGGTCTTATCACTGAAAACGAGATTTGCTTTGCTTCTTTTAAAACAGAACTTCCACAACGCAAAGCTTCTTCACAAGCCCACCCTGAAAATTTGTAATAAGTCATTTATGTGCATTGTCACGACCATGAGCATATTTTCATAAAGCTGGCCATTATGCATTATTCAGGAAGCTGGCCGACCCAGTCATGGAGAAGTAAAAACAATACTGTACTTATTAATCCAACACATATTTTACACTTGGAGCTAAATTCAGAGCATCTGCTAAAACAAAAGGCAGATCAAACTATAATTCCATATGCTGGAATTAACTTAAATTCCATATATTCCATATTCCATATTGAAATAACTGGCAGGACAGGTTCATGTAAACTAATGTAAAAATTCTGTTGATTACCAATAAGAAAATAAACATTAAAAACAACAAACTGTAGGTTATGGTGCCTACAAACAAACTGCCTGGTGTGTAACAGTAATTCACTTTATATGCAGAAATATTTGTCCAAGTTCACCCTCTCATGACCTCCTACAACCTTTGACCTTTACCATTTTTCCAATGTTTGAGGACGATATGTTTAAGAACTAAAAATAGAAACAAATATAAAGGAGAGATGGAGAAGTATTAGAAGAAGTAATGTGCAGTACACACAGACATACCGGACAACTACAATTGCATTTAATTGCACATATATTTCTTTGTACCTTCCAAAGCATACTTCATGTCCTGTGCGAAGAGTGTCCACATGACTTCCGCACTGACCATTCCCACATTCAGCTCCTGAGGAAACCTGTACAGGACACACCAGGTTAAATACTGTATCTTCTCTGTGTGTTTGTGTAATATTGTGTGTCTGCAGTGACTGACTGATTGATAACGGGGTTGTAGGCATTCTTATCCTCCTCTATGATGGACACTATCAGGGTGATGAGTTTGGGCCAGAAGTCCAAATTCTGTATGCTTGGTCCAGGTTCCTCCACAGCAACATTTCCATCCTCTTTCCCATCCTTCTCGTCTTCCTCTTCTTCGCCATCTTCTCCCTCTTTCTTTTCTTTTGGTTTCTGTTGTACAGGACAATAGTGTGATGGATCGAGTCAAACAGGTAGTTTTGTCAGACAAAGAGAATGAATGACTGACAGAAAGATAGAAGGAGCAGCAAAATCACTAATAGTCCAAACAATAGAGAGAAAATACATAAAGTATATATAGACTAGACTAGACTAGACTCGACTAGACTAGACTAGTCTGACAAACATATATACAGGATATTTAGACCAGTCTGGACTAGACAAATAAATATACAGTATATATAAAATGGACTAAGCTAGACTAGACTAGTCTGGCAAAAAGACATACAGTATATTTAGACTAATCTGGACTAGACTTGACTAGACAAACAGTTTTACAGTTAACATAGACTGGACTGGACTGAGCTAGGCTAGACAAGTCTGACAAACAGATATACAGTATATTTAGACTAGACAAACAGATTAACGGTGTATATATAGACTGGACTGGCCTGAGCTCCACTAGACTAGTCTGACAAACCAATTTACATTATATTTAGACTAGACTGGACTGGACTTAATTAGACTAGACTAGACAAACAGATTTACAGTATATATAGACTGAGCTGGACTGGTGCTATACTAGACTAGTCTGACAAACAGATATAGAGTATTTTTAGACTAGACTGGACTGAACTAGACTAGGCTAGACAAACAGACTTACAGTATATATAGACTGGACTGGATTAAGCTAGACTAGATTAGTCTGGCAAACAGATATACAGTATATTTAGACTAGACTAGACTAGATTGGACTGGGCAAGACAAACAGATTTACAGTATATAGAGACTAGGCTGGACTGGATTGGATTGGACTAGACAAACAGATTTACAGTATACAGACTGAACTGGATTGGACTGGACTGAAATGGACTGGACTGAACTGGATTGGACTGGTCTAGACAAACAAATTTACAGTATATATAACCTGGACTGGACTAGACTGGATTAGATTGGACTATACTGGAATGGATTGACTAGACATGACCTGACTTGACTGGACTAGACTTCACTATATACTCGAAGAAGAAAACATGACAGCCAAACTGGCTGCAAAATATGTGTTTACCATCCAATTATTAATCCACTAATTTGTTTAGTCTTTTTTTAAATAATATACACTGTTTAAAATCGTACTGTAGCTATTATAATTATATATTTTTGTCTGTTCTTGTTCCTTTTTTCTGTCAATTATTTCTCATTTGTTGTATATTTTATTACTTTAATGATCTAAATCTACTCCACTTTACACATACTAATAAAGCAAATATAACTGAACTGAACAGACAGGCACAAGGACATACAGATAGAAAGAAAGACAGAGACTCAGATTTATTGTCATGATTCCTGAGTGTGAACGTCAATCAAAAATGTGGTCTCTATAGTAACAGATAAATTCTATAGTATATTACTCATTTCAGTCTTTTAGAAAGGTTAGCATCACCCATGAAAAACTAAACCTCTGATAATGCTATCGTCAGAACAGAGATCTCCAAAGGTTAACACACAAGTATAAGCTCACTCATATTTGTGCACTTAAACACATCCCCGTGTGTGATGTGAAGGTGTTTACTCACAGGCTCCACAGCCGGCTGGAACTGTCTGCTGTAGAGCTCTTGGCAGTTGTTAAAAATGTACTCATAGGTAGAGTTAAGACATGCCTTCACACAGTCCCGAACCACATGGGCTGCACGAGGAGGAGACTGCAGTTCCAAAACCTGGTTCAAGGGGGTGCCAAAGAAGATAAGAGTGTTTGTGCATATAATCGATGTAACTACTGCTAACAAGCGATACATGCTGTCAAATCAATAGTGACTAATCTCAATTATAAAAGCCAGCACAAAAGCCTCTCTCTTACAGCACAAAGAAATCAATCTTCATTTTAAACCTTCTATTATCTTTTCCTATTGTGTAAACTCAGGCAATCAAAAATGGCTGAGCGTTTACTCAAGACTATATGAAGCACAATTGGATTACTCATCGCTATAGGATCTGTCACTTAATTTATGCATTATAAATAGGACCCACATCCTTGAAGCTCCTAAATATACAGTATAAGTTAGCAGGAAGGGCAATACGACATCCCATGGCTTGATCAGATTTAGAAGGACGTTATCTTACCTTTAGTCTGAAGAATGCAATGCTAGTCAATAAATCCACTGTGGATTTGAGATCTGCTAGACGGGGTTTACTGCTGGCTGGGAAATTATTCTGGCAATCAAAAGAAAAGGAAGAACATCACTGGAAGCTTGAGAGAGAAGTACAATGTGACTGGTAAAACTTGAGGGGAGGTATCAATCATGAACAATTCACCGCTTATATATATATGTACAGTACATGCAAACAATTTACAGATCAAGTTAGATATCAAATTCTGCACAAAGTTTAGCTACAGATGCCACTATCTGTACAAATTGTATATTGTTCTCATCAAGCTTTAAAATGTACACTCATTGACTATTAAATGGATATATATTTTAACTAAGGCAGTGAAGTTTACACACTCCTAAGAGATGTATGTGATTCGCACCATACTGTCAACATGATGCCAATACTTTCAAGGTCTTGAATGATTAAAGAAAAGAGATTAAAGAAAAAGAACTGGAAGTTTCTCTTTTAAATAAATTTAAATACTTAAAATGTTTGACACAGCCCTAAATATATAGCTCTAAATGATGCAATGTTTGCTATCTAAAATAATAAAAATATTTAAAAAAATAACCCTTTAACTGCCCCACCAAGAAAATAAAAAAATTGGATTGCATTTTTTAACTCCTAATGTCGCTAGTTAACACACTCAATAAAATGTTTTTTAAACATCCCATATTTTCTAAAATATCAGCCTCTACCAAATGGTTGATATGTCGGTATATGGTAAAAGTACCGTATAATACATATACTATGAACAGTTGAAAAATATAAGGTGTAAGACCAATTTATTTAAAAACAATCAAAATAAAACATTTTTGATTGTTTTTAAATAAATTGGTAAAAATAATCTGTGTTACCTTGATTTTTTGATTGTTTGTTTGTTTGTTTAATCAATATAACTTTTCTAGCCCTTTAAACTTACATTAAATAAAACAGTAAGTAAAAAAAAATAGTAGGTTAAACAATTTAAGGTCCTCCACAGACTACACTATAGCAAAGAAAAACTCCTAAGGCTCAACCCTGACAAAGTAGATAACAAATGTAACAGGTGTTCACAGACCATGTACAACCTCAACCACATGTTCGAGCCCTGCCCAAAACTGTCTGAATTCTGTCGGTTATTTTTAAAAGCAATCTCAGACATATTAGGCATTAATTTAAACCCAAACCCTCATATCGCTATTTTTGGTAAACCCACAGATGATTTTCACATCAGAAACATTCAAAATAAGGTTATTGCCCACTCCTCCCTTTTTTCTTGTAAAAGAATTCTCGTAGGGTGTACTTACACTAGGTACTGTTGCCTTGAACCGTGCCAAAGCACAAAACTCCCTGACAGCCTGCACTCACACAGAATTTTGCCTTCCGAACCAGAGCACGTTTAAGTCATCGATTATGCGACTGTCCAGTTTAACAGGAAAAGAAGCGATTGCTTTAGTTATTCATTCATTCATTTTCATCTGCTGTTACGACCCAGTCACAACATTAAATGAGGGAAAAACACAAATGGATCAGTCTAGGGGTTTTATTAATTAAACAATCAAATATAAATAAAGTGTGGGGAGGAAACACAATAAACACAGGCTGAGAACAAAGGAGCACAACTCCACGTCTGGACGGCCGCTCAAATCCCCGTCTCTGAATCACTGCAGCACGAGCTCTTAAATAGCCGACGATGAATTGTCTGCAGGTGCGGAGGAAATCAACTCTAAATGAAAACACAACCATCAACACAACACAAGAGGGCGACAAAGTAACAATTAAATAAATAATAAATACATGGACATGTAACACCTTCATCCCCCAAAAGTGTTTCCATCACCAAAACACATACTAAGTCAAAAAAAATTATTTTCAAACACCTTTTCCCGAACACCATTTCATGCACCTTACCCACTTATTCCACCCGGGACAGTGCATCAGCCACCATGTTGTCACAACCTCGGACATGCTTAATGTCAAGGTCGTAGGGCTGCAAAAATAAACTCCAGCGCATCAAACGCTGATTAGAGTTACGCATGGTGTTTAGGAAAGTAAGAGGATTGTGGTCACAATATACGACAATCGGGTGATAATTGGACAAATAAACTTCAAAATGCTGGATGGCAAGAACCATTGCTAAAGCCTCCTTTTCAATAGTAGAATACTTCCGTTGTGTAGAAGTAAACTTCTTTGAAAAGTAACATACTGGGTGTTCTACTTCAGCACCTCTTTGCTGAAGGACAGCTCCCGCACCAACATCGCTTGCATCCACCGCAAGACTGAATGGCTTTAAATAATCTGGTGCAGCCAACACTGGAGCTGAAATCAACAAAGACTTTACATTCTGAAATGCACATTGGCATGCATCGGACCACTCAAATTGGATCTTTGGACTCAACAGATCGGTTAGCGGAGAAACAACCGTAGCAAAGTTCTTACAAAATGAACGGTAGTAACCTACCATACCAAGAAAACGACGCAATTGCTTACGGTCCTTCGGAGAGGGAAAATCACAAATTGCAGTCACCTTAGCAGCAACTGGGCGCACTTCACCATTACCAATAACTTTTCCCAGGTAATCAATAGTGGCTTTACCAAATTCACATTTGGCCAAGTTAACGGTAAGTTTAGCTTCTGCCAATCGATTAAAAACCTGTCGAAGCAAACTCATGTGCTCTTGCCATGTCGAACTATACAACACTACATCATCCAGGTACGCTTCGCAATTTGGAACACCGGCCAACACGGTGTTAACGAGCCGTTGAAAAGTGCTTGGAGCGTTTTTCATCCCGAATGCCATCACCCTATAATTAAGAAAAGCATCCGGGGTGACAAATGCTGATATTTCTCTAGCACGTTCACTTAACCCCACTTGCCAATATCCCTTTAATAGATCGAGTTTCGAAACATATGTAGCAGAACCTACACGATCCACACAATCATCTATTCTTGGCAAAGGATAGCAGTCACTTTTAGTTACGGCATTTACACGACGATAATCTGTACAAAATCTAAATGTGCCATCAGATTTCTCTACCAGCAGACACGGTGAACTCCATGGACTAGTACTAGACTCAGCGATGTGATTTTCCAACATGTACTCAACTTCCTTCTGCAGAAGCGACCTTTTAAGTGGATTAACACGATATGGATGTTGTTTAATCGGCTGGGTAAAACCAACATCAATATCATGCTCAATCACTGAAGTTAAACCAGGAATGTCACTGAACAACATTGGGAAACTTCTCACTAACCCAATGACTTCAGCTTTCTCAGTTTGACTTAAGTGTGGTAGTTTGCTAGTTAAATTTTCGAGCATCTCAGAGTTTTTCAACCTACCCTCAATGATACATCTAGATGGTTCTACATCTTTTTCATCGACTGGTTCAGATGTAAACACACCCACAGATAGCGACTCTTGAACAGGTAACTGTATGACGTTTTTAACTTTCTCAGTATCCGACTTTCTCTCATAATAGGGTTTAATCATGTTTACATGACAAACTCTCAGACTTTTTCGACGATCAGGTGTATGGATAACATAATCTCGATCTGACAGTTTCCTTTTGATCTCGTAAGGGCCACTATAACGAGCTTGCAACGACCCACCAGATACTGGCAATAACACTAAAACTTTGTCACCAGGGCTAAAACTTCGTTCTCTCGCTTTCTTGTCGAACCAAGTTTTCATCTTTTCTTGTGATTTTTCAAGGTTTTGCTTTGCCAATTCACGGACTCTATATAGACGTGTACGAAACTGTGAAAAATACTCCGGTACAGTGGTGCTTTTTGAATCAGAGAGCCACCTCTCTTTCAATACGGCCAAAGGGCCACGCAAATTGTAGCCAAACACGAGCTCTGCAGGGCTAAAGCCCAGTGATTCTTGAATCACCTCTCGTGAAGCGAAAAGCAACCATGGAAGTCCTTCCTCCCAATCTCCCTCAAGCTCAAAACAGTATGTACGCAACATTGACTTTAAAGTCTGATGAAACCTCTCTAAAGCACCTTGACTTTCTGGATGATACGCAGCGGAAACGTTATGTTTTATACCAAGTCGTTTAAGTACTTGAGAAAACGATCGAGATGTAAAATTCGTTCCCTGATCACTCTGGAGAATTTTTGGCAAACCAAAGAGCGTGAAAAACTTAACCAACGCTTTGGTGATCGCTCTAGTGGTTACAGAACGCAAAGGAATTGCCTCTGGGAAACGTGTAGTCGCGCACATAATCGTTAAAAGATACTTAAAGCCAGATTTTGAACGTGGAAGCGGTCCTACACAGTCGATTAAAATGTGTTCAAAAGGCTCAGAAACCATTGGAATTGGATAAAGTGGTGCAGGTTTGATAGTTTGGTTGGGTTTTCCAACAACTTGACAAACGTGACAAGTCTTACAAAAACGTGCAACATCACGCTTTAATCCAGGCCAATAAAAGTTTCGCAAAATCCGATTGTATGTTTTTAAAATACCCAAGTGACCAGCTGAACCATTGTGTGCACAATCTAAAATCATGTCTCGGTAATCTACTGGAATTACGATTTGGTTAACTACATTCCAGTCTTCAGAAGATTTTGGAGATACCCACTTTCTCATCAGAATGCCGTTTCTAAGAAAGTACATCTGAGGCGCACACGTATTCTCCTGCTCTGGTCGAACTAATTCGAAAAGCGAGGTAAGAGTGGAGTCAGATTTTTGAGCGTCAATTAACTTCTCGGGACACAAAGACAAATCAGCACAGTCTATAGCATCCTTCTCAGCACTCACAGGAAACAGATCTGCTTTTTCCTGTAAAGGGACAGAGAACAAATCAGTTGTGTCAGAATTTACCATGAATGTGTCACATAAATCAACGCTATCAGAAGTCTCAGCGGATTTAATCATAGATCGAGTAAGCACGCACGCAGCAAATACATCCGGATACTTAAGCGCACAGTCATCAGTACCAGCGAGTGGTACAGGAACAACTTCAGGTGACACGTTAATATCGCTCCATACACTACCTCCCGCTAAATCATTGCCTAGAATGAATGTTACACCAGCAATAGGAAGAGAAGCACGAACACCGACGATCACGTCACCGCTCACTAATTCAGACTGTAGACTGATTTTATGCAACGGAACATCAGCAACTCCCATCTCAAAACCGCGCACTAATACCGCGCTACCAGTGGCAGTTTCCTCTGATAATGGCAAAACTCCTTCCAAAATTATGGAAAGACTTGCTCCAGTATCCCGCAAAATACGTACAGGCACAGGCTTACTCATGCTGGAAATGGACACAGTTCCATAGTGCAAGAAAGGCGCATAACCATCTTTAGTGGGATTAAAATCGGACTCGGACGTACAATTAAAATTTGAACTCGAGTCAACAGAAATTAACCCAACATGTTTCGCTTTACCTTTCTTCCTCAACACTGGACAGCTTGCAATTAAATGACTAGAATTTTTGCAATAAAAACAAGCCCTTTCATCAGTCGGAACAGTTGACCTAATACGGAGTGATTTACGAGGTGGTGAAACAGGTGCTTCAGCAAAAACTTTCTCTCGCGGTTTCTCTTTAAAAGTGATTTTGTGCGTTAAAACAAAATCATCTGCCAAAGTGGCAGCTTTGTGGAGTGTATCAGCTTTCTGTTCATTAAGGTACGTAGAAAGAGCAGATGGTACACAATTTTTAAACTCCTCCAAAAGAATAAGTTGTCTCACTTGTTCTTTACTCTCAGCTTTTTGAGACGTGCACCACCGATCAAACAACATCTCTTTCTCTCGTGCAAACTCGACATAAGACTGATTTGAAAGCTTTGCATAATGCCGAAAACGCTGTCGATATGCCTCCGGAACTAACTCGTATGCTCTCAATATAGCAGCTTTCACCAGCTTATAGTCAGCCGTTTCTTCAATAGACAACGAAGCGTATGCTTCTTGTGCTTTACCGGTTAACACGCACTGCAATAGCAGCGACCAAACATTTTCCGGCCACTTTAAAGAAGCAGCGACTCTCTCAAAATGACAAAAATATTTCTCAACATCCTTTTCACAAAAAGGAGGAACCATACTCCGATTTCGACCAACATCAAATTCATTAGAGACTACACTTTTTCCGCTCATCTCTAATTCCATACGCTTTAGTTCATATTGATGATCGATTTCACGCTTTCGCAACTCTAATTTAGCATTTTCTAACTCAATTTCTTTTTCTTTCAATGCTAATTCTCTCAATCGAATAGCGTGTTCACTTACTGAAGGATCAGCCACTTCCTCCACAAGACTAGCAGTCTCTGCAGGCATTTCTAAAACGCCTAATTCCACCAGATAACCTTTTAACACATTTCGTAGAGTTTCCTTCAAAGTCTTATATCTTGGAGCAATTTCAATTTCAAAAGACTCTGCAATTTGCAATAACTGCTCTTTTGTGCACGATAAAAGCAGTTCTTCAGAAGGAGACTCACGAAATGTGTCCACTACAGACGCCATCTCCGACGTACAGTTATGCTCACAAAACAATTAAATAATGGTTTTAACGATAAATATTTTAAACCAAACGTTTACAAATATTTAAACCATCAAATAATCTAAACAAAAGAGCATCAACTCACCTGATTAAGCAAAAGTATCAACGAAATTTAATTTTTCCAACTTAATCACACACATACAGCCGCATCAACACACAGCCGCGCGCACACACAGCCAGGCTGTATCCTAATACTACAAATTACACGAAATTGAAAGGTTATCAATATAATTCACAAAATCGTAACCAAATGCAATCCCCTAAAAAAACTAATGTATTTACCCCATTTAACACAATATTTTTCCCTAGTCTTCAGTGGCGTTAGGGGCTCGAGGCGACTTTAAATGCTGAAATCATGAACACTGCATACTGACCCAATAGATAGATCAGCAGCAGGTGCTCTGAAGCATACCTCCACTCCGAATAACCACAAAAATAAGAAAGGCAAAATAACAAAGTGGCAGGTCCACAACCTACCCGGCGACTAAATTAAATAGGGCAAATACTCACATATGGGATGCAAGAGGTCACTCAAACGAAAGCATATCCAGACGAATCACAAAATGAACGGGGTGGCCACACATCTCTCCTCCCACACTAAACAGCTGACGAACATAATCTAAACTTTTTGGACGAGCTCCCAATTAATGTTACGACCCAGTCACAACATTAAATGAGGGAAAAACACAAATGGATCAGTCTAGGGGTTTTATTAATTAAACAATCAAATATAAATAAAGTGTGGGGAGGAAACACAATAAACACAGGCTGAGAACAAAGCAGCACAACTCCACGTCTGGACGGCCGCTCAAATCCCCGTCTCTGAATCACTGCAGCACGAGCTCTTAAATAGCCGACGATGAATTGTCTGCAGGTGCGGAGGAAATCAACTCTAAATGAAAACACAACCATCAACACAACACAAGAGGGCGACAAAGTAACAATTAAATAAATAATAAATACATGGACATGTAACATCTGCTTTTCCGAGGGCAGCAGTTTTAAGAGAAGACCCAGACATCCTTCTCCCCAGACACTTCCTCCAGCTCCTCCGTAGGGATCTTGAGGCATTCCCAGGACAGCCGAGAGGCATGGTGGGCATCCAAGATGCATCCGAAATAGATGCCACCTCAGCTGACTTCTCTCAATGTGGAGGAGCAACAGCTCTACTCTGAGTTCCTCCCGGGTGACAGAGCTCCTCACCCTATCTATAAGGGTGCGCCCTGCCACCCTGCGAAGGAAACTCATTTTAGCCACTTGTATCTGAGATCTTGCCCTTTCGGTCACGAAAGCTCATTTCATCTAAATAATGCTTTAGTTATAAAGGTTTGTATTATTTTTTGTTTTTTTGTATAAGAATAATTAATAAATCCACATGGAATCGTTCCTTAAAAGTGATGTCGTGTCTTCAGTTTCGGACTCAGGCGCGATTTGCACTCACACCACAAGGGTACAGTGCCAAAGCCCAACCAAACTGCGCTTTGGCACACCTATTCCAACCAACCCAGGGCTGGCCAACTGAACCGCGCCTGAGCCCGATTCGGAGCACTCACACTTGTCAAACAAACTGGGAAACACACGGTTCGGATAGCCTAGTGTGAGTACACCCTTAATATGGAAATTGGACCAACCACCCTAAATGGAAGTCTGGTTACATGACATGTCTTCTGAAATTGGAGAAGATCACGTTCTCACTCAGAGGGTCATTTCATAGGTCTTATAGTCATTTGAGGCCACTACTGAATCATTTTGATGATTTAACACCTCTTAAAGTGGTTAAGAAATTACAGCTTTGTATACAATGAATGCTATTCACTTGTGTTCCATAAATAAAGTTAACAAAAAAAAAACTAATTGAGGTAAACTTTGTATAACTTTAAAAAAATTGTAGAAACCTGGTTAACTTAAAGTTAAAGCAACATAAAAATGTGTTGTCTCCACTTTTCGTCATTCAATAGTTTTACAGTGTACTGTATGTGTCAAATCGACAGCACTTTTATATATGTAGATTTAATTTGAATTGTTTGTTGTTTTTACTATGTGACTATTTTATGATTTAATTCTCTAGTTTATGTAAAGCACATTGAATTAACGTTGTGTATGAAATGTGCTATATAAATAAACTTGCCTTGTTTGATTTCAATAAACGCTGGAATACATAAACATAAATACAATTTGTGGTCTGTGCTTGTTTACCATGGAGACAACAGTATCAATGACGAGTTTCAGTTTAAGAGGTGGGATGAAAATAAAGAAAACAAGCTAACATTGTTCATTTATTGCGTTTTCCAGCCAAGTTCTGATTTATTTTATAACACATTCTCACAGACTGTAACTGTCCCTGTAGGTTAGCTGTCGTTAGTGCATATGAATAAGACTTACTCTGTATGTTGACAAGTCAATGCGGAGAGAGTTATGGAGCTGATCCAGCAGTCTAACGAAGCGATCTTTCTGCATTAACAGAGTGAAAGATGAATCAGCGGTGAACAGAAACACACAAACAAACAAAAGAGAAAAGCTCGGTATCATTTAGCTATAGAGTCAGAACAAAAAGAGCAACCCCCTTCAAACATTTTATCTACAAGGTATGATATTTTGACATTGATCTCCCTCTGAATGAAATCTAGACCTTAATCCAAGGATAAAGAGTGTGGACACATGAACAAAAGACACACTGTGCAAAACACCAGGGACAGGCTTTTGGATATATCCGACTCATTCCAATAAGAAAACCTGAATGGGATTCAAAGAGTCAGGGACACTGACTGGGTCTCCGTTATTCACCGTCTTGCATCTTTTCAAAATCCTTGTATAAGCAAGAGTTTCAGCTGAAGGCAAGAGACTGTGGCAGTGCACAAATCATTGTGAGCATCTGCATTTGCGGTTTCACAGATTCAGAGGATGCCTTACCAGCATTATCATCTGTCGCATGTGATTTTCTCACAGCAGGTTTGTGATCAAGGGCTTTAGAGTATGTCACACTGATTGTAACAGCCACAATAATTCTGTAATCAAATGTGACATTACAGCTTATACAATAGCTCTGATCCTGAAATTTGATTGGCTGAGGGGCTTCCCGAGAGTGCTGACATTTAGTCCAATAGCATTGGGACTTTTCACTGTTTATTATGTTTGCATTTTCAGATTATCAGTCTTTGCATTAATGAAGGAGATTTGGTAGTGAATTTAATTTCATCAGGCTATATAATCACACTATACTAGCGTAGCATCAAAATGTTGCTTCAATTTAATTGTTTGAATTGTTTAAACTCAACAAGGATGCATTTATTTAACCAAAGGTGTAGTAATTAACTAACATTGGGGAAAAAAACATCACTATTTCAATTTATGAATTTTGCCTTTGATGAACAGACAGTTTCAAAAGAATGTATAAGTTGAAGACAAAATTATTAGCTATTCTGGAAATGCATTATATATCTCACTAGCCACTTTATTGGGTACAACTTACTAGTACCGGGGTGAACTCCCTTTTGCCTTTAGAACTGCCTCAATCCTTCATGGCACAGATTCAACAAGATACCGGAAATATTGCTCAGAGATTTTGATTCATACTGACATGATAGTATCACGCAGTTGCTGCAGATTTGTTGACTGCACATTCATGATGTGAATTTCCCGTTCCACCACATCCCAAGGCTGCTCTATTGTATTGAGTTCTGGTGACTGTGGAGACCATTTGAGTACAGTGAACTTATGTTCAAGAAACCAGTCTGAGATGATTCAAGCTTTATGACAGGGTATGTTATCCTGCTGGAAGTAGTCATCAGAAGATGGGTACACTGTGGTTATAAAGAAATGGACATGGTAAGCAAAAATTCTCAGATAGGCTGTGGCATTGAAACAATGCTCAATTGGCACTAATGGGCCCAAAGAGTGCCAAGAAAATATCCCCCACACCTTTACACCACCACCAGCCTGAACCATGGATACAAGGCAGGTTGGATCCATGTTTTCATGTTGTTGATGCCAAATTCTGACCCTACTATCCGAATGTCGCTCCAGAAATCGAGACTCAACAAACCAGGTAACGTTTTCCCAATCTTCTATTGTCTAATTTTGGTGAACCTGTGCGAAATTTAGCCTCAGTTTCTGTTCTTAGCTCACAGGAGTGGAAGCCAGTGTGGTCCTCTGCTGCTGTAGCCCATCCGCCTCAAGGTTGAATGTGTTGTGTGCTCAGAGATGCTCATCTGCATATCTCGGTTTGGTTGTAACGAGTGGTTATTTGAGTAACTGTTGCCTTTCTATCAGCTCAAACCAGTCTGGATATTCTCCTCTTACCTCTGGCATTTGTGCCCACAGAACTGCCGCTCACTGGATATTTTCACTTTTTCAGACCATTCTCTGTAAACCGTCGAGATGGCATAAAATATCCCAGTAGATCAGCAGTTTCTGAAATACTCAGACCAGCCCGTTTGGCACCAACAACCATGCCACGTTCAAAGTCACTTGAATCATCTTTCTTCTCCATTCTGATGCTCAGTATGAACTGCAGCAGATCATCTTGACCATGTCTACATGCATTGAGTTGCTGCATTGTGATTGGTTGATTAGAAATTGGCATTAATGAGCAATTGAACGGATATATTTTTATATATTTTTTAATGTTTAAAAATGTATTGAAATATTTTCTGAATTAAACAGCACTTTGGAAATATCTGAAAAATATTTAAAAATTCCACTAATAATTTTGCCTTCAACTGTATATTAAAATGTATATAAATGTTATAAATCTTTTTCCATCACTTTTGATGAATTAAATTGCATCCATTCTGAATAAAAGCATTCATGTCTTTAAAATAAAAACATATATATGAGGGGGATACACAACTATTTTGTATATAACTACCAAACTTTTGAACAGTAGTGTACATTTAAACTCAGCAGTAGTCAAAATACCGTAGCTTTTACAAAAGCAATGCTGTTTTTATGTCATATGTCTTCCAGTACTGCACATCTTCTCATGCTTGAACGTTCAGTTCAGTCTGTCTCTATAGTGGTGGGGATCTGTGTGTTGCAGAGTTGACATTACCCCAAAGTTGGAAGCAGTGAAGCGATCGCAGGCGGATACGTTGGTGACTGAGGTGGGATGAGCGTAGAATGCATTGATGTTGGCCAGGAGTGTGCTCATTACAGCAGGGAGGCCAGAAAGCATGTATTTAAAGGACAGACATGCAAAATGCCTACAGGTGAACACAGACACCCAGTTAATATTTGTGAGAATGCTTTACTACAATAGTAATGCTATAACAATACCTAATGTCACTTGATATTACGTGATATTCATTTGACTCTAAAAGATATCAGTGTATGTACTTAACCACAGTTTACTGTAGGTTAGTTTTTAATGATTCATTGACTAAAGCCGCTTTTCCACTATCGTGCTGAATCGTTCTTTAAACAGAACTGTTCCATTCCGTGCCAAACCGGGCCAGACAGCACGGATACGGTTTCATTTTCCACTGTCGTGCTGCGACAAAGCTCTTTAAAACATTACACAAAACGCATCAGTAGTTCCCTTGGTAACGCAATGTAAACGGCTCCCTTTGTTCAATTAAAGTTAAATAAGAGCCGAAACTATTTATTTATTTATTTTTCATAAAAGCAAAAGCATGTGACTAAACACTGTTATGCCGCTCTATCAAATAGGGGTGCTAAATGTGCACCCTTATTTATTTATATGTTGCGCAGCTCTGGCTAAATTTTATTTGGAGGGAAAATTACCAAAATGTAACGTGATGATTAAAAATAATTGGAGGGGAAATAAATAATATTTAAAATCTCTGAACATAACAGAAAAAAAAACAATGATAAGACAACAATAATAGTGCATTTGCATTATAGTGGCAAAAATATCATTTTGGACAGGCTTTGTCAAAGGTGAGCGGGCACTTTCACTAATAAAAACACAGCACATAAATTATTTCATTTTTAACAATTAATTAAATTACACTGCGTATTTATATCAAAAGTTGATAATGATATAAAATATACTACATTTTGATAGTAAAATGAAACCATTTAAGCGATGGTTGTTATTTGTTTTACTATTCAAACATTAAATAACGAATGCAGCAAGTGAAAAAAACGAATATGAAACAACACATATATTGCAGGATTTAAAGCATATAAAGCACTAAAATGCTGCTTTATTATCTTTTTATTTTGATCATTTTATTTTTATTTTTATAATTATTTTTGTGTTCATTATTAACAAGCTGTAGGCGAAATATTGCTAGACGTTTTAGAAAATATTTGCGTAGCTATATTAAAGATCACCACAAAAAAAAAACACAGAAACATCTTACATGCCTCATAAATGTCATATAACTTATGTATAACTGAATCATATAATTGCCTATAGCTGAAATGATGAAAATTGCTCATTTTGTTTTTATAAAACATTTGTCAAAACGTATTGATATTTTTTGAGTAAACAATACTGACATTTAAGAATCCATATTTATTTAATTCATTCATTCTTTTGACTTGTTTATTAGTGCATATGCTATAATATAAATCATACAACAGTACCTTGGACAGTTACAGTGCCGCTCCGTAAAGCTTTCAAGCAATGTCTTTTGAACGGCCGACATTACAACACGAACACGCCGTCCTTCAGGTGGTCTCGCCGGTATTAACAAGCTGTCCTGGCTTTTATTTCAATTATTTCCTCGTTGTTAAAAGAGTCTGCAAGTTCGTGTTCCATGGATATAGTGATGTTGTTGTGGAATTTGGACATCGACGATGCAAAGCGTGATTTTATTCGCTTTATTCGATGCGCAGCAGGAAAAAAAAGTCAGCAGCGCAAGTCGTTGGCATGTCTCTCCCGGATCAGAGCGAGTTTTGTGCTGTGGAATACAGCGCTGCGTGCAATAAACTCACATTCAGCAGGCGAAGTAGGTCTGTATTCAAGTCAATAAAATAATAACTTTAATGAATAAAATATCTTCGTTAGAATGTGATGAGTTATTCACTTCTCTGCCAGAGACTGCTCTATGGTTTTAAAACCCTTTTCAAACTGTATCGTTTAGACCTGGATCGTTATTTTATATTAAATGCACTGTAGTTTATTGAGGATGTCTGATGACTAGCGCGCTTCTGCTGAGCCAGCTGTGGTAGCTTAGCAACCGAGTCGCGACGTCAACACACAGAATCTGTCAGCACAGTTCAGCACGGTTGTCTAACCGTGCCGAGAATTCCGGGCCGAGAACGGTTTGTAATCGTGCCGCGCCGTTCCAGGCTCAAGTGGAGAAACAACCGTAACCGTACCGAAGTGTTCTTAGAACGGTTTGGCACGATAGTGGAAAAGCAGCTTAAGTCTCTTTTCTGATTAGAGAGAAACCGGATTGTTTTCAGAATCAGATCTTTTCCAGCAGATTGTCTTTACTTTTGAATAAAAGGGATCATATCAGATCATAATTTAGTGATGTAATGATGTAGGTGTACACACATCTGTGACAAGGGTTGCAAAATGCTAGAAAAATAAAGCGCTTTAAATGCTAGAAAAATACAGCGCTTCGCCTTGTCGAGTCACGTTGCAGAACTCCTCCATCAATTATTTTGCTTGCACGATGGAGGAGTTCTGCATCGTGACTGGTATTTATTGTGACACTCATGCCACGACCAGCTTAGATCATGCGTGTGAGTGTGTGTGAATATACTTTCTGGATTTTCTGGCTATCCATCTGCGAAAAAATTATTTTAACTGAAATTTGATCCGGGCGATGCAGTGGTGCAGTAGGTAGTGCTGTCGGCTCACAGCAAGAAGGTCACTGGTTTGAGCCTCGGCTCAGTTGGAGTTTCTGTGTGGACTTTGCATGTTCTCCATGCAGTTTATTCAGCTGTGGCGACCCTGGATTAATAAAGGGACTAAGCCGACAAGAAAATAAATCTAGTGCTTTAAAAACTGAACTGAATTGAACTGAATTAAACTTTAACGGTAATATATATTCTAAACTGAACTCAATCAGTTTCAATTTGACAATAACAACTCCGGCATTGTCCCACTACTCTCCTGCCTGTATGATATGCTGAAATGTTCCACTATCTGAAATCTTGTTTTGGCTTTTTATTATCTTTTCTCCATCTATGCTAAGCTGCTTTGACTCAATCTACATTTAAAAACACTCTAGACAAAAAAAGTTAAAAAATAAAAAATAAATAAACAAAGCCATCTTGTATTCATTAGAAACAAATATTCTGAGATCTGATAAAAATTGTCAACTGAAGAACAGCTTTTTAATTTCTGTATTTGCTAAGTGGATGTAAATGGCTAGTAAACCATCTCCAAAATGTCCGCCTCCAATATTGGACATATTTTATTTTATTTTATTTTTTATTTTTTATTATTATTTATTTAATATTTTATTTAATAATTTATAATTTATTTTATTTATATTTTATTTTATTCATTTTCTTTTTAACATAGTCCTTTTATTACTCTGGGGTAGTCACTGCGGAATGAATCGCCCTTCCAGCCGCAATCTATCACTGGGAAACATCCACACACACTTATTTACACACATACACTACTGACAATTTAGCTTAACCAATTCACCTATACCACATGTCGTTGGGTTTTGGGGGATAAACCGAAGCACATGGAGGAAACCCACGTGAACACAGGGAGAACATGCAAACTTCACACAGAAACGCCAACTGACCCAGCTGAGGCTCAAACCAGCAACCTTCTTGCTGTGAGGCAAACGTGCTACCCACTGCGCCACCACGTCACCTTAATTTAATTTAATTTAATTTAATTTAATTTAATTTAATTTAATTTTATTTTATTTTATTTTATTTTATTTTATTTTATTTTATTTTGTAAAGAAATGCCCTAGAATTAGCTACATACTGTAGCTAAATTTCATCTGCAGTTCCGGTGCAGGAAAAACACAAATTACATAACAAAAACATAAACACAATATCATTAAAAAAAATACATCAAGATCTGTCCACCACCAATATTTGAACTTCAGTATTTAGTTCATCATACAAGATCCACCTTCAAATGTGTTGCAAATCAGATTATTTAAAACTATCTAATGCATTTTCTACTGTCAAGATCAGATTTTTTCTGCCAGTCTAAAAAGAGCCTAATTTTTTTAGTCCATTTAAATACCCATTTAGGACTTTTAATGTCAAAAATGTTATTATTGATGTTATATAATGTGATAAAGGTTTCCTCTTAACAAAATGTACCTATAGCTCTCAAAATACACACAAAAAGTTTCAGTACTTACGTCATGGCCTGATAGATGGATTCTATTCCATAGCGCATAGCAAACTCATCCACGATGTCTTGATAAACCTCATCAAAATAGACTTTCCAGGCATCATCTCCACGTGCCGCAGGCAACTTCACCACACCCTGCCCTTCAATCTCCGTCACATAGTGGAAGAAATTCTACAAAAACAGAGCAGAAAGTGACATAAGACAATCATTTCACGTTAGGCAATCATGACATTAGAAAATAATATCTGTTGGTTTTGAGGAGAGAGAACATTTTACATTTTGTACGCTACCATACAAAATTCTGAGATGTTTATTTGAAAGTCCCTTATTCTCACCCAGGCGATATTGTAAAAAAGATAATTATGGTTAGATTGTTTACCAATATTAAAATGTAAAATAAGCGATTAAATTAGAAAATGTAATTAAATCCTGCAAAAGCGAAGCTGGATTTTTTAGTATCACAATCCTTCAAAAATCATTTAAATTTGCTCATTTGGTGCTCAATAAATTATTCACTCTTTATTTTAAAGTAAAATTCTTGCTATTAACAAACCATTAACTTTGAATTTTGTCTCAATAAGCTCCTAATTTGTGGTTTAATTATAAATATTAAGGTAGTAATTGGGTTTAGGTATTGGGTAGGATTGCAAATTTATAAATACCAATAATAAACAGCCAAAATCTTAATAACTGGCAGGTAAAAAACCACAAGTTAAATGTGAGAATTGATCCTTAAACTGAAGTGTTACCAATATTTCTTATCATTATCAATATCAGAAGCAGTTTTAAATAAAATAAATTATTCAACAAAAATTACAATGTTACAAAAATAATTTTTTTATTAGATTCAATGACAAAACTGAAATTCTTTAATATATTTAATATTTATATTTTAATATAAATTTTTTAAATAATACAATTTAAAAATAAATGTAAAATCTTTAATGTAACATTTGATCAATTTGGTGCACAATAATAAAAAAATGTTTGTCCATTAAAAAGAAACCCTTGTGTGTAGGGGCTTACCTCGTGCAGACAGGTGTACTGAACATGATAAGGGGCCACTTTCTCTTCCCCTTTAATTTCCACACTTATCTGCAGCCTGATGGCCCCCGAGACCGCTGACTTGTCAGTGCGTTTTTCTACAGTCAGAGATAATACATGGCTATTACACATCCGATGTGAAAGACAGCTCTCTATTTAGCAACATCATACCGGATGTGAACCATTCCGCACTAACATTCAATACATTTGTATTTAAAAAGAAAACAAGCAGCATTTTCATATTTAAAGATGTTAGATTCAAGATTTTAATTATAAACACTCATGAAAGTATATTTTGAATATTTTTATCAATGAAAAAATCCATTGCTTTAGACAGCCATTTTGTACACATTACATATAATTGTTCTGAGCTCTTATGAAAGTAAAATCAAAAGAGAGCATTCTATTAGTAGTATTATACTAAGAGAGTAGAAGCTAAAATTTCCCCCACTAAAGTTGGACATATTTAATTCATCAGGCAAGTTTTCACAAACAATAAAAAGTACAGTGAATGTATATACACTCACCGGCCACTTTATTAGGTACATCGTACTAGTACCGGGTTGGACCCCTTTTTGCCCCTTAGAACTGCCTTAATCCTTTGTGGCATAGATTCAGATTTTGGTCCCTATTCACATGATAGCATCACACAGTTGCTGCAGATTTGTCGGCTGCACATCCATGATGTGACATTCCACCACATCCCAAAGGTGCTCTATTGGATTGAGATCTGGTGACTGCGGAGACCATTTGGGTACAGTGAACTCATTGTCATGTTCAAGAAACCAGTCTGAGATGGTGTGCCCTTTTTGAAATGGTGCGTTATCCTGCTGGAAGTAGCCATCAGAAGATGGGTACACTGTAGTCATAAAGGGATGGACATGGTCAGCAACAATACTCAGGTAGGCTGTGGCGTTGACACGATGCTCAATTGGTACTAATGAGCCCAAAGTGTTTCCTGTTCTTCTGTTGTCCAATTTTGATGAGTCTGTGCGAATTGTACCCTCAGTTTCCTGTTCTTTGCTGACAGGAGTGGCACCTGGTGTGGTCTTCTGCTGCTGTAGCCCATCTGCCTCAAGGTTGGACATGTTGTGCATTCAGAGAGGCTCTTCTGCATACCTCGGTTGTAACGAGTGGTTATTTGAATTACTATTGCCTTTCTATCAGCTCAAACTAGTCTGGCCAATCTCCTTTGAAAGATGGTTGTGCGTAAAAATCCCAGTAGATCAGCAGTTTCTGAAATACTCAGACCAGCTTGCCTGGCACCAAAAACTATGCCACGTTCAAAGTCACCTAAATCACCTTTTGAATGGTTTGATGTGATTAGCTAATTGGAAATTAATGAGCAGTGCCTAATAAAGTGGCCAGTGAGTGTACATATCATAATATGTAGTATATTTCATTATATGTCCATGCAACATTTATAATAATTACTCTATTATGTCATTTTATTTAATCAGGCTTATTGTAACATTAAAAAATATGATTTTTTTAAAGCTTTGCAGTTGTGAGTTTTATATTTTAAATTACATTTTTAAGCAGACAGATGGTTTCATTTCTTGTTTAAGCTATTCAGTTTATAGTCCTAAACCCCCTTAAGAAAGTTAGCATTGTCTAGTGGGTTCTCTTGAAGAATTCAGTTTAAGTTTAAGATTTATGAATTTAAAAAAAAATCTTAACTAGCCCCCACAGAGCAACTTTTTAGCAAATTGCATTAGAGCTCACAAAAATGTCAAAACCCCTGTTTTTGTGCATTTATGTTGCAGAACAATACACCAGAGCCTCTACCAGTAAACTACTAGATCAAACTAACAACATCAAATTATTTAACAACTTGTTAGAAATTCAGAAGGGAACCCACGGCGTATTATACTTTCAGCTTGTCTACAAATCAACTATGCAACTATATAGCCCAAATGAGTGCTACTGTAAATTCTGAGAATAAACAAAAAGAGGAATTGAACTTGCCGAGGTTGTACCAAACATCCATTTCTCCGCTGAGAGTCCGGACCTCAATGATGCTCTGACCCAAAAAGTCATCAGATTCCCTCTTTAGACGCTGCTTCACCCGAGACTTTATATCATCGTCTTCATCCCACACACGTAGTTTAATGCGGTCAGATGAATTATGGCACTCACTAAGGGAACAGTAGTTAAATATGTGAGCAAATCGCTTCAATTCACTTTAGAAAGGAAATAATATAAGCTCCAAAATATGACAGGATGAAACTCATTTAGAAATCACACAAGTTGCTGAAGTCGTTGACTGTAGAGTAAATATTCTGCAGTTAAATAACTGTATGACAATAGATTTAATAAATAATTAATCAGCTTTATTTGGCAAACTAAGCACTTTTTAGACGTCATATTGTTTCAACTCTGTACAGTTTTTTTTACTTAGAGAACTTCTTGCACAGAATGTGATACTCTTTACATATTTCAATAATAAAAAAAAAAGGTTTAGATTGACTTTTAATTACTTGCCTGCAGGGCAGAAATCTCCAAATGACATCTCCTAATAATCATATATTAATAACCCATTAAATGGTTTCCACCAGAGTGTAATAAGATAACATGGGGAGCAAATAGAGACTAAATCTTCATTAATTTAACATCTGCAGTGAAGTTTCAAGTGAGAGCTCAAACACCCAACAAACAAAATTTTGACAGAATACCAAAGTCTCCAATCGTCAGATATCTCAGGATCCATCAAAATATATTAACCATATTATCTCCATTTCTGTTATAGCTCTATACTATGTTTTTGCTCTATACTATGTTATTGCTAACAATGGTCACATTTTTTTCAAAATGTAACATTTCGACCATAAATATCAGAAAATCAAAGATATAGAAAATAGACAAATGGAATAACATATTCAGAGAAAAAGAATAACCTGTTATTGCATTCTCCATTTGAAAAATCTATGTATTTTATCAGCAGTTTCTCATTAAGGAGTGAAATGAAAGGAATGAAGGAAGGAAGGAAGGAAGGAAGGAAGGAAGGAAGGAAGCAAGGAAGGAAGGAAGGAAGGAAGGAAGGAAGGAAGGAAGGAAGGACAGAAAAACAAAAGTTGGATAGAATGACAGATAAAACACAAGTTAGATGGATAGACAGATGAAATGACAGATAGAACAAGGACGGATGGACGGATGGATGGATGGATGGATGGAATGACAGATAGAACAAAAATGGATGGGTGGATGGATGGTTGGATGGTTGGATGGATGGATGGATGGATGGAATGACAAAAGTTGGATGGATGAATGAATGGATGGATAGAATGACAGATAAAACAGAAGTTAAATGGATGGATGGATTGACAGATAAAACAAAAGTTAAATGAATGGATGGATGGATGGATGGATGGATGGATGGATGGATGGATGGAATGGCATACAAAACAAAAGTTGGATGGATGGATGGATGGATGGATAGATGGATGGACAGATGCATGGATGGAATGACATACAAAACAAAAGTTGGATGGATGGATGGATGGATGGATGGATGGAATGACAGATAAAACAAAAAGTGAATATTATGAGGGTCAAAACTAGACAACATTTGCCTGATTATCATAGGAAAATCAGGATTTCAAAAGAACAAAGATAACAGAAAAAACTGAGTATTAGACTCACAAGTTGAACGTCTCCTCCCACACGGGGTTGAGGTTACCATAAATAGTTTTGGTTCTCTTCTTAGTCTTGCCAACTTGAACCGTCACATACGGATCACTGGAACCAGTTCTGTCTTTAGCCTGCAGGCCCTGAGCGCTCACCACTGGAAAACACACATGAACTCAAACAATCTGAGCAATCTTCATGTCAGACTACAGAAAAGTACAGCTGGTTCTGCTTTTGTACCTGTGATGGAGATTTTGGCAGACCACTTTGATGTTCCATCAAGCACAGTCTGTTTGATGGCCTTCATCTGCTGAGCGTGGTTGAGTTTAGTCACATTGAACACAACTCTTATGACCTCAAAGATTTCAGGCCTATTCCTTTCTCGGATCTTCATGCGGTCCTTCATAGCGGATATAATATGCAGGGTTCTGTCCTCTGCTCCTGTTTTGGAGCTCTTCTCTGCAGCTCCTGGCAATCAGAGGGATGTTTATAAATAATAATAATAATAATAATAATTAGGGATGCAGCCTCTGATCGATCGGCCGATAATCACATTTCATCACCTTGGAATTATAAGGTTATATCTGCGTTCTGAATGATTTTAAAATATTGAGCTTCAAAGTTTTTGCATTCCATACAGCAAACAGTATGTGTGTAACAATTATTTTTTTAAAATAAAAAGTCTTAAAATGTAAATAACTTATAAAAAACATTGTGTAATGTAAATAAGTTGTCATTTAATAAGAATATGGTATGTCAAGTGTTTGTGTTAGTTGAAGATGAGCAAAATATTTGAATGATCTTGCATGTGTTAGGCCTTTTTAAATTAGCAACTGAATGTTCTGTGTTTATGACAACATCGCAAGTTAACTTTACTTATTGCAACAAACAGTAGTTTATGGACCTATTTTCTTTTAGTAAAGAAGTAATGGATTTATAGGTTAACATTTTAACTTTTTATGCATCAAATATGGGCTCTAAACCTTTTCTTGATTGAGACGTTAAATTCTGCATCATTTGCAATGTTTCCAAATTGCATGGTTGGTCATTTTTCTGACCAATTTTTTTTTTATATGCGCTATCTATTAATTTTCTTTAAAGTTATGAGACACGTTTAAGGGATTATATGCAGCATCCTTCATTTATTCTCTTAGGTAAGGGGAGATCTCCACTTAAGCGTCTTACTAAGAGGGAAATGTGTTTTATGCATTATAAAGCTTAAAGCATCAGAATCGAAACTCTGTATTTGCCGATCACCATGGCAAAAAAACGGTACTTGTTATCAGCTGCAAAAATCCTAATCGCAGCATTGCTAATAATAATAAAATAATAATAATAATAGTAGTAACGATTGGATCTTAGTATAAACATGCATTAAATATATATTAAAACATGTTTAAAAATATATTTTGCTTTTCCTTTTTTCATTATAAATTAAGTTGTTCCATTTATTAACATTAGTAAACTATATTATTTCAAAAGATCTAACCATGAAAATATGGTCACCCTTTACTCTTTATTATAATGTGCCATTGTTGCAAATTATACTAAAGAAATTATAGTAAAAAATAATTATTATTTCTTCTTATTTAGTAGTATACCAAATGAAAACATCTATTGGTTAATATTACATGAGTTGACATGAAGCAACCATAGTTCCTAAAAATATTAAATTCTCTAAGAAATGCATTGCTCATTGTTAATTAGAGTTATTTGTGTGTGTATTGTAGTGACATCATCAGTTTTGAAAGGATACTTCATACTGAATAACTACACGTTAACTATGTATATATCCTGTCCAAACTATACATACTGAAACTCTTTAACCTTTATAATTTTTTTTCGGTAATGTATTATTAATGTGCACCTTTTTGTAAAGCTGCTTTAGAATGATAGTTATTGTGAAAAGCGCAATACAAATAAATTTGAATCAAATTAATTGAATATATGAAGAGCTTATTCGTTTGTTAAGTGTGACGTCACGCGGAGCGGCTTCCGGGTCCAAGCGCTCTATTCAACTAGAAATTCATGAAATGGTAATAATAAAATTTTACAAAGCGATTAAATTCTTTCGAAAGTCTCAATCACAATATATATGTACATGCCTAATATCCAATGGCCAGAAAGTGATTAATTGTTTTATAAATTGTTATAATTTTGGTATTTGTTATGCAGCAAATCCAGCGATTGTTGTGTACACCATGACTTTATGTCAAATTAACTTTAATGTGTGATATGAATAAAAAGTTATCATGAACGAATGATTTCTCCACTCAAATGAATGGCGGCTTGGACCCGGAAACAGTATTACATAAGTCACAAACACATCACCACTTAACAAGCGGATAGGTAAGAATTTCTATTTTTTATTGCCATTTTGTGTACAGTGTCTAATAAATCCCCTGTTGCCTTCAAATATCTTACTGTCAACAAAGACCTGTAGGCTGATTTTATGTAAAGGACATTTTAGTCAAGAAAGAAAAGTGTTACACTACATTTACCCACAATACCTGCACCTCTCCTTCCATTCTAACACACGAAACAAATTATTGTAGTACTTAGAAAAAAGCTATTCTGTGGTTTAATGTCAGTGGATCAAGCAAAAAAAGAAGAAATTAATTCTAAAGGTAAATTTTCTAAAGGTAATGAGTTTTTATACTGTATGCAATCAAAAAACTAAAAAAAGTGCAACTTTTGCTATGAGTGTATGAATGTTAGCTGCAGTCCATTTATAGCCCACCAGTGTCATTAATACTAAGTGTTTCTGAATTCTATGTCGCCTCTTTGCATTAACAAATGGGACCTCATTGTAAAAAGTTGCCCTTTTCATTGCAAAGCATCCATTAATGGCAGAGATGTAACACTTATGGCACAAATAAACCCAACTACTGTCAGTCATGCAACTATAATAGTAACTATGGAAAGATTTGTAAGATGTTCTTGCTTATTTTTTCAGTATTTGGTAGGTGACTCACTCTGCAAACAGTCTGCGTTGAGAAGCTCTTGGCATTTTTCGTGGCATTTGACTCCACACTCTGAGCAGCGCATGCCCTGCCGCGCAATACCCCACAACAGACCCTCACACTCATAGCAGTAGGTGGGCGTTGTGGCCGTCCACACTTCAAAGTTATGGGGCGTCGTGCATGAAATAGGGTAAATGAGAGCCTGGAGGGTCTTCTTGTACACATGATTTTTCTACAGAAAGAGAATAAACAAACAATGCCGTTACAGAAGATGAAGCACTGATATTTAAAACAAAGCCCATCCTACATGTAGAATGTGTTGGAACTAAAAAAGTGGGACATTGTTAAGAATAGCTCAAACTGAAAATAAGAGCAGCTGATCATACGAGTGTAAAAGGTATGCTTCATAAATTCTGGCCAATCGTTCAGAATGTACTGTAGGTGTAGTAATGGGAGTGGGTAGACAGGTGCCAAAGTGATGAACAAATGAGGGCCACATCTCTTATCTTTATCTACACAAGGTGTAGGTGGCCCAAACCCACACAAACATTCAGCAATTCAGAGCATATGAACAGAACTGAAGATTGATAAGTCATCAGGTCGTGCTTCAGATTAGCCGCCTTTAACTATTATATACTGACATGAAAAACATTAATCATTAGGTACACTGTACTTATGTTTATGTATCGCTAAACAAATTTGCTGCAATACAACATGATCTAATTAAGATATTATTGTCTTGTCTTATGGTTTAATTAAAAATGAATTTACTGAAATTAATAACGTGCACACAGGTGTAAATTAAGCATTTAGGAAAATATTAAGTAAAATATAGTAAGTATAAAGTAAATAGATTTGATGACCCAGCTGACCTCAAACTCAATTTGTTTGTTAATTAATAGAACCTCAGGCATCTAAAGATGTACAGTGCAGTATAGGGAGGGGATTTTTTCTACAGAAGATTTTTTTTGCTCAAACCATGATGCTTGGTGATTTTTACATTTGAATGACTGGTGGGTTTGCTTTTAAAACCTCAATGAATCATCAAGTGTATTTATTTTTATTGTTTTTTTTTTGTTTTTACAGCTTTTTTAGTATACCTACCTTTTTAGTTGGTTCCCACTTTATAGTAAGTGGCCTTAACTAATATATACTTACACTGAATTGAATAATTCGTTACAATGTACTAATTGTGTAAATACATGTATTTACTGTGTATTTATGCTTGATCAAATACCTGTATGTAATTACATCTGTAATTTAATTCTGTAATTACATTTGTAAATACACTGTTGACTATTCCTTACACCTTAACCCACCCTTAAACCTACACATACCAGCAAACCTGTCCATAACCCTACACCTATCCCAACTCAAGAGCACCACAAGTGTTCTCAAATACATTATAAACAGAGTGAGTACATTGTATTTATTTTTTGTTGCAAGTACATAATAGTTTAGTACACTTAACATAAAGTGGGACCAACAGTTTTCTTTCAGATGCATCTTCCAAAATTAAAGAAAAGCCTGTATATGTATGTATGTATGTATGTATGTATGTATGTATGTATGTATATATGTATGTATGTATGTATTTATATATATAAAGACAAATCTGTTGGTACTTTTATTATATAAAACAGATAGCATATGCCTTACCAGTTCTTCATCCTTCAGGGAAGAGCGTGCAGCTAATGCATGTGAGATCCCAGCTTTCCTGGACTGCACCAGAGACTGAGAGAGAAGAACAATGGGTCAATATAAACATGTGCTTAATTATTAGCAACAGCTGTACTCATTATACAGAAATGAGTCTGTAACTTTACTTGTGCTCGCCCAGAGAGTTTAGCAAAATTGTTTGTAATGTTTCCTCAAATGTTAGTCCATGTCTGTGTCAACAACATTACCATTATTATGCTAAACTCTAATCCCCATTAAGGGAACTGTGTCTGCTTAAAAAGCTTTTAGCATTTAATGGCTTACGTCTTCAATGACTAAATTCTATAATGTAGAATAGTACCTACAATAAACACAAAAGACAGTCGATACGACATGCTGAAAAACTCTCGATGACTGTTTTATAGCTAAAGGCAGACCAAAAATCTGCAGATTGATTTTTTTTTATTGAAAACAGAGATAAGAGCACAATTTGGCCTCTCGTAGTTAATGACAGTGATTCAAAACACGCAAAAGGCTGGCTTTATCTTTTCTCTGGCCATCATTTGCTTGGCGAGTCAATCATGAGTGGTTGAGAGTGAATGAGGGGGCTGGCAGGTCTTGGTTAATGTTCAGTCAATGAAAGAGCCAAATACAAAGATCAATTCTGCATGAGAGAAAATTGGATTTTTCAGAACCAAATGAAAAACAAAATCAAGTTTAAGCATATTTAAAAATCTGATTTTTAAATAGACAACAAAATTAGTATTTTTAAAAGGTATTAAACTGTAGGGTCACACTTGATTTTGATTGTCCGTTTGTTGAATTTAAGTTGCAATGCAACTAATTCTCATTAGATTATAAGTTTACGTTAGGTTGGGGTTGGGGTTAGTGTAAGTTGAAGTAATTGCAAAGTTTCTTATTGTCAGTTAAATGTCTGTTGAAGGAGCAGTATTAACAGATATTAAGCAGACAGTCTACTAATACTCAACTGGACCATCAAAATAAAGTGTTACCAACTGTAGGCATAAAATCACATTGAATAAAACATAAATATTTATAAACTATGATTGAACTCTAATTATAGATTAAACAACATTATAAATGCTCAAACAGTTTTTAACAAACCTAATAATAATACACAACAAACTATTGAATAAAAGCCTTCTACAATAGATTTATGCTTCAAAGACTTCAATTTTTCTGATCACTTCAAGTGATAAACAGCATTTTTGGTAGTAAAGAATTGTGTAGTATATTAAAAATTATATACTGTATGTGTGGCTTTTAACCTATTACTTTTCTGTATTGCTCCAGGACTAATTTTATATATTTGTTTAAGAAATAATGAAATGTTTAGTGCGGTGCAATTTTTTTACATTACTTAAGCATCTATAACTTTTTTCATTTTGATTATTATAAACTCTAGATGGATAGTAAAGCCTATTGTGATAATGTTTATCACACTGCATCGAAATTAGATCATGCTCCTCTTAATACAGCACATAATAGACTTTGCAGATTTGTTCTGGATTGTTCCGTTTTTACACATCATTGTATAATGTAAGATCTACTGCAGTGGCAATCTTTGCACAAAAGACAACATATCCACAGGCTTCAGTATATATTTTAATGTATTCATTTTAAGTATCCTTATTATTTAGACCATATTTTGTATTTTTTTTTCCTTAAAGTAAGACATTCTGTTCAGACTTTTTTTCCCTCATTTTAAAAAATCTATTGGTAAAATATCTTTTATGTTTAAGGGTCCAATAGATTAATTTACCTGCTAACATTCGTTTCACTGCATCATTTAAAGTGTTAAAGCAAACTTTGCTGTCATATTTAACTTTGGACTGTACATGTTTTTCCTCAGCATGTTATTATTTATGTGGTGATTTGATTTACTGATCTGTATATGTTTTTTCACTATGTATACTACTTCCCCTTTTGTTAATGTCTGTGTGTGTGTGTGTGTGTGTGTGTGTGTGTGTGTGTGTGTGTGTGTGTGTGTGCGCGTGCATGTTGTTTAAATTTTATGTTTTGTTAATATTATGTAATTGTGAATAATTTTGGGACCCCATTGAAAATGAGGGGTTTAACCTAATGAATAAATAACAAGCTAAAGTGTCTTGTTTCCAAATAAACATGAACTGTGAATGTAGACCAAATTATTCAGCAACTGTTACTCTTTTAGTTTGGGAAGGTCATTTTTGAGAATATGCCTCTGACGGTGAGGAAAAGACATCGATCTAGTCTCAGAAAACTTTACAGAAATCTTATTTTGCATGCTATCTTCACCAAATTTGAAATATAAACTCATGAAACACTTGGCTTTCTAGGTATAATTTTTTTAGGATATTACATGACTGATTTAATATGTTTGTACTTTAAAAAAACAAATATTGAACACAGTACAGTTTTCCTTTCTCATTACTTCATGTTGTAAAACTTTTCTTTTTTTGTATGAAACTTTCTAGATGGACCATAGTCAAAGTGTCTACTTTTCAATGCTACCTAATTTATGTTTATAGCTCAAGAAATGGGGGTCAAGAGCTGTTACTATCTAAATTTAGGTAGCATAAATCCCCAAAAGTGAGTGCTGGCTAACAGGTTAAATTGATTGTTTCCCCAAACCTTAAATCAATCAATCAATCAATCAATCGATTTATTAAGAGACAACGAATTAAAAATGAAAAAGAACAGCGACCACAACGTGATATGCAAAACTTGAATTTAAACCAATAGTAGGATATAATTTAAGTCAACATTCAATTATAGCTCCCAGGATTCATCACACAAAGCTATTTGACCAGTGAAATCAGCTACTGCCCGTTCTGATTCAACTACACCAGAGTTGCGCAGTAATCTTTGTTTATATTCATCCCACAAAAAAGAAGCCCCCATTGCCTTAAAAACTGTTGTGCAAGTAAAAAGCTTCAGATCAAGCTTGTTTTTATTTTGCATTTATTCCTTTTTTTGTCCCCTTCACAGAATGTCAAACACATCTGTGTGGGTTTCAGTTTTATTGTGTTGCAACAAAGACTGATTGATGAAAGTTCCCTATTTCTGACTCATGAGCATGTCAGTGAAACAGAGGCGAAGACAAACACTTCAAACAGAGCTTCGTTTCTCAGGCATAAGCACACTCGTCTGGATTTTGGAGAGCCAATCACATAAGATGCCTCTCTTTAAGGATGACATTCGATTACAAAACTGCTGGGATAATTACAATGACACATTCACATGTATGCTGAAATTCATTATATAAAAACCCCTAGATCGCTTGTAATATCATACCCTTCAGAGAAAGGATGTCATGCGGTCATTCATTTCTGATATATCATTACTGCTTATTTCAATCACACCAGCTGACCAAAGATGATAGCATTACACACTGGAAACAAATCTGAGCACAAAATTAATTTTCTGACAAATAATATTTAGTATAAAGGACATTGCACGTTCAGCTTGAGAGTTGATAGAAAAATAATTGTGGAATCCCACCATTATCATCAGGTTGGATAAAGACAATGTTACAGCAAAAAGTTCTATAGCTAAAATAATGAAAACATATGCCTACATATTTTCCCTCAAAGCCTGTTTAGATAGAAATTAAATAGTCAATATTGAAACACTGAAAGATTTACTTACCATGGCCTAGCAACGAAGGAAAGCATTAGGGAAAAAATCAGATCAGATTAAGTTTATATTTTTGCATTTTGGTTAGATAAGATTCAGGCTGTAATTTAAGATTACTCTCATTTGGATATAATCAGCAGAGAAAGAAATGTGATATGCTCTGGTTTAATATGAATAAGTGTGAAATCACTCACCACTTCGCTAACCAAGGGGATAGGTTTCTTCTTCCTAAGGTCAGGCATGCTATCAATGCCAAATATTCCAGTGCCCCTGGAGATGTAATATTGATGTTCCAGTAACAGTAAATAAATGTACAGATTAAAAAAAAAACATGATTCGAACAGTGAAAGATAATAAGCCAAAGATCATACCCAGATTTGGCCCACGGATGTTTGTTATGGTCTCCATTGTTATTCTGTAGAGAGGTTGATCATATTGTCATGGATTAAAATAAATATAACACGATTCAGCTTATATTTAAAACAAATCAGAACATGGGAAATGGGGACTTAAAAAGGAACAGAGAATAGAGGGGAATAGAGAGCTGTTTGATTGTTTGGTTGACTGAATTTTACCACTAGATTCATCACTACATGCAGAATTTTCCATTCACGATGACAAACTAACAGAATTAGACATGAAAGAGCTCAGAAACCAAGGACTCCAAACTTTTGTAAGTACACTTCTATTCAGAAAATCTTCCTGCATGAATTAATTGGCTTTCAAGATGCATGATAGTATCCTACAGTGAATCTAGTACAGAGCATTTTAAATGAGTTTCGCTTTTGATAAAGAGAGACTATAGAAAGAAGCATTCTCTTTTGAAGAACAAAAAGGCAATTACAGCAATTTGTAAATTGATGAATTAAACTAATATCATCAAACAGTCATACTTAACTTTTTCATATAATTAATAAATAACAAAACATGTTTATTTAATATGTACTAAAACAAATTATCAAACAGATTTATTCCAACGGAATGCTCTCTTTCCAATGATCTGTAAATGCATCAATTTACCTTTTAAAGGAGTGGTCCACTACGAGATTATATTTTAAACTTTAGTTGATGTGTAATGTAGCTGTGTGAACAATGTAAGAAGGTAAGACGCTCAAAGTTCAATGCAAAGGGAGATCACAAATGCTTCAGGTTGCACACATTCACCACACGCATACACCCTGCGCAGCCAAGGGGTGTGGCGAGAGGCACTGTAATGTTTAAGCAGAAAAAGCTAAAATGCCACCCAAATGTTGCTATTTCCACAGAGCTTGTTTCGTGTCTGCATTTGGGCCTCCAAAAACATGACACAATGTTAGAAGTGCTTACAGTTTAATTTGAATAATGTTCCAGAGAATTATAGAAAAAGATATAGCTCTAGCATTTGACAAAGGACAGCTTCCATTATCTCTCCTAGTTCAGTGCTGGATTCGGCTAAAAACTTCTCAAAGAAGGAGCAGCTCCAACCATAATAGAAGAAGCTGTGGATGGATTGAGAGCCACAGCCTGTAAGTATTTTTCTTTGTAAAAGATTGATCTATTACATGCACAGTTACTAGCGTAACGATATGTTGTTGCAAGAACATAAACAAAAATGTAAACAACGGGAAATGCTGTTTAGCACCATTATCAATTTAGCTAAACATCATATTTATCCATCAAACTGCTGTCAACAGCCACAATACTCCAGCGCTGCAGTGTTTCTCTATGCGAATGCTTGCCTAAGCTCTACATCTCAAATAACGAACTAGCAAAAGATGTGTGAACATTTCATATTACTTACACATACTTGCATATTCCTAATATATGTGAAAGACACTGATTATATCTTAGAGTCAGATTTTATTTTAGAGGGCAGGCGTGAAGTTCAGCTGTGTGCTCCTCATTTTATATCTAATTCAGGGTCACACTGACACGGCTAACAGTTACACTGACTGACAGTATTTACACAGCAGAGGCACAACGCGTGCTAGTAGAGGCGTGACTGGACTTGGCGCTTCCTAGTGACATGAAGCCGATCCTCGAATCACAGCACATTATGTTAGCTGACCAATCAAAGCCTTTTGAGGGTGGGTCTTTCAGAGGAACTAGGAAATATGACAGTTGTTTTCTTGTTAGCTGAGTAGCAGTATATAATCAAAAAAAGTTATGAAAAAATGAAGCATGAGCACACATTGCTTTGCATCTTATAAACACAACCAAGACTTAAAAATACACTCTGGACCACCCCTTTAACAAGCAACAGCAAGGATGCAAATATAACGAATGTATTGCATTCCTTATTTTGAAAAAAAAAATGGATTTGTTAAAATAACTAAATAAATAATTTATAGATTTTTTTGAGCAAACCTTTCCTTAACGCTCATCATCGAAACAAAAGTAGAAATCAGTACTAAGAAACTTGAATTCAGCAACATGGTGTCCACCATCACAGTTTTACTTTATGGTAAAATGAGAATATTTTAATGAGCTACAGTCAATAACACAGCTTGAAAATATGTGTAATGTTTACAGTGCAGCATAGCCTACAAGCCACGAAAACAAGGCATCATTAAAAAAAAAATAATAATTCAACACAATACAGTAAACCTACATCAAAGGAGCCTTTTAGCACCATGCACATTAAATATTTTTAAACATCCTTATTTATCTTGTGCTTTGCAAACAGAAAACATCAAGGCACTTTTAAACAAGATAAAAGATAACCTGGTCTTCATCTTGGCTTCCATCTAAAAATAACAACAAAGAGCACATGTTTATTATCATATCATTTTAACCATAAACACGCTTTAACTAGACATAACAATACAGCAATTAAAGTCTCATCCAAAAACACATTTGCATCTGAAGACAGGGAGTTTAATAACCTTGTTTAGGGACCAGCAACATGATTTGCTTAACTGCTGGGGTTTTGCAATTGATCTAGACAGTTCATGAAAGTTTCATTGAGATCTATTATTCATTTATAATGGCTCCTAAATTTTCTCTCCACTCTTTCATGTCAGATTTGTTTTCATTTCAATTCAATGGGTGTAATTAGTTTGTTTGAGCCTGGGGAACAAGACTAGTTTAACACCCAGCAGGGTGCTTGCATATATATCTGAAGAAAGGTCTAAACACCCACTGGCTATAAGAGTCAGCAGTTTCTGATGGGATCTGATATTTTACAGGAAAAAAAATTGAACACCATTTTGTTTTTTTTTCAGTTGAATAAATTATATTGTGGAACGCATTTGATGTGCATAGACATGAAGAAAAGAAATCAGCATTACTGACTGACTTACGATTTTTTTTAAAATTAATTAATTTATTTTTTACTTACAAACTTTTTTTTAATTACTAGGTTCAGAGAACCCACTAATCTTGCAAATTTGAAACTTTAGCCAAGATCATCTAACACATACCAGAAAAACAGAACAGTGAACATAAAGATAGGTTTAGGGGCTGAAAACTCGGTGTACCTGGGTTTAAATCATCTTCAGAAAATGTTGACATGGACACTATGCTGAGTTGTTTTCTGGATTCTCTCTTCTCCCTCAGAATCTGCTGGAAACTCCTGAGGCACTTCAGACGACATGCATTCCGCTGGCTAAGCTCTGCTTCACTACCTCCTTCTGTGGAGGACTCAGTGGGAGGCTGAGTCTCCCCCAATAGTATTCTCTGCTCCTCTTCACCCGCTAGTTCCTCAGGGGAAAAAGAGTCTGGCAAAATGTCTGTAGAGAGGCACTGTGTTAAATAAGCATTGGTTTGATGTCCAGATGTAACATCTGATGCATTACTAGTGGATGAGTCCAAGCCTGGAGATTTTGGATGTTCTGAATCTTCATTGCTATGCTGGTATGGAGGTGATTCAGGTTTTGCTTTGGCAGAAATGCATTGAAGTATCTCTACAAAGTCCTTCTCATCACTTAGGCCTTGAGGCCATGTGGAATTAGTTGTTTCAGTTTGTGGGGTCTCCATCTCAATCTGAGGTGTTACTAAATTTGGTGTACTAGTATTTAGGACATTGACAATTCCTTGTTCTTCCCCACATGGGGAGACTGCTGTATGCACTTCAATCTTTTCACAAGGCAAGGTAGAATAACTTCCATCCTTCTTCTTTAGAGCTCCTCGCAAAGTGGTTTTAAAGTCAAGAACTGCTCTGCCAAACTTTTTTACATTGAACGCAGCATTACAGTCATCAGCATCAGCATCAGAGTCTGGTTTCCAATCAGGAACATTTTGATTACAGAATGATGTATCTTCATTCATATGGTTCTTGGATGGCTTACTTATAAATAGCAGCCCATTTTCATAAGAAGATACATGATAAATGCCATTCTGAGAACTTTGAGAACATTTATCTTTGCAATTATGATAGCTGAGGCCACGTTCTTTAGGGAATTCTTCTGCACCACACTGTTTCCAATCTAGCATGCTGCATATACTCACATCAGAGTCATAGTGTTTACCAGATACTTGTAATATCTTATCCGAGGCACCAACTAAACAAGTATTTACAGCTGTTGATGGGTCCACTTCACTTGCATCTTCAAAACTGCCTTGCCTGGAGCAAGAATCATCTTCGCTCCATGCAATCTCTCCACTCCCATTGCATTTTAAATCCACTGGGTCCCGAGGACGAATGTCACCCCCTATTTTAGACTGTCCAGAAGTATTTTTTTCTGGATCAGACTCAGACTTGGAACTATGACCAGAAGATAGAGAGCTGTTGCTTGGACAATCCTGCCCATCTTGGCGCTCAAGGTAACCAAAACTGACCTTCCTTTTCGTGGACTGCCTTGACACCTCTTTGGGTTTCCTATCAAGGACTTCATAATCTGAGAGTATATCACCACAGCTATTTGAGGATTCAACAGTGTAAGGCTTGTAACAGCTTATGCTAACAGTGTTTTTTGATTTGTGAGTGTGGGAGAGTCCTTCAGTGCCACCCATTGCTCCAGGCCAAGTCTCCACACCAGATTTGTTTCCAGACCGCATGCATTCAATCTCCATTAGAACAGCATCTACACAGCTTGAGACCTCCTCAACAGAACCACGAACAGATGACAAGTACTCCCTCAAGTCTGAAATCTCCTCTTGAATTTTGTTTATCCCACGCAATTCTTTCAGTATGTGCTCAACGATATCACTTGATTCTTCCTCTTGATAGAGCTCATTATTCCCCTCCACAACCTCATCCTGCATCGTCACATTAACTCTGTCTGTCTGTCTTTTCGGCTCACCATCAAGTCCACTTCCAGACGAGAGTTCTGTCCCATTTAGATCTTGGGTCATTTGGTTTTGAACCTCTGTTAAATTACTGTTGTGCTGCAAAGTGCAAGGAATCCTGATGCCTCCTTCTCGATTTAGCTCAACCTCCCCAACGCAAGGTGCCTCAGATACTGCTCCTAAACCATGGCCATTGGGCACCTGAGG